ATGTGCCGGGCCATGCAATGAGCGCTGTATACACCATATGTTTTATCCCATATTGGATACCCACCTTTAGACTCTCCAACCTTGGCTCAATCCTAGTGTTTGGGCCGCACTAATCGCGCTGACTCTAGTTAACCCATAATTGGCCGGGCCACGTGGCTTCCGGCCTGGCGCGTCCTCGCACTCTGGGAGGCAGAGGGCAGGCCGACTAGCGTTGAGCTCAGGAGTTTGCGCCAGCCTGACGCAAGGCTGAGACCCATTCTCTACCCACTAGTAAATAACTTAGCCGGCATCGGTGGCCCTGCTTGTATACCGCCCCCGCTTCACGGGAGGCTGAGGCAGAAGGCTTGCTTGAGCCAGGAGTTTGGGGTTGCCTGTGCGCTCTCGGCTGACGCTCGGCTCTGTCACCCTGCGCTAGAGTGCCGTCGGCGTCAGCCGTAGCTCCACACCACCGCCCCAACCTCCTCGGGCTCAAGCAATCCTTCTGCGCTCAGCGTCACCGTGCAGCGGGGCTCTACAGCATCGTGCCACCCTATGCCGCGGCTAATTTTTCACTATTTTTTGGTCAGAGGAGTGGGGTCCTCTTGTCTCAGGCTGTCCTCCAACTCCTGAGCTCAAGCTATCTTCCTGACCTCTGCCTCCCAGAGTGCTGGAATTACCCAGGTCCTGAGCACTGTGCGCCGGCCATTAGTTGTTAACTGTCACCTATTATGCTGCAAACACTCGATCTTATTCCAAGTTGGAGAGTCTAAGTGTGGGGTATCGAATATGTTCTAAACATTATGTGTTACATCTCTCAATCCTGATTGGCCTGCCATTTCATTAGTCTGAATCATTCATCTCCCACTAGTCTCTTAAGCAGGACAGGGACTCTTCTTATTCTGCTGTTAGCCTCAGCCCTTACCACAGTCCCAGGCTCAACGAGTGCTCAAGTTAAGAAAGGTTTGTAAATCGCATCCCACAAACGACACCCAAACAAACCAAACCTTCTATTTTTCTCCGCTCCTGATATCCCTTGTATAATGCAAATTTTAAATTTACCTTATCTACCCGAACGCCTCAAGCCGTCGGTGGCTCGCTGTAATCCTAGCCCTCTGGAACCAGGCGGGCGGATTGCTCGCGCGTCAGCGTTCGAAACCGCCTGAGCCAGAGTGAGCCCCGTGACCTCATCTCTACTATAAATAGAAAGAAATTAATTGGCCAACTAATATATATAGAAAAAATTAGCTGGGCATGGTGGCACATGCTTGTAGTCCCAGCTATTCAGGAGGCTGAGGCAGGATTGCCTAAGCCCAGGAGTTTGAGGTTGCTGTGAGCTAGGCTGATGCCACAGCACTCATTCTAGCCTGGGCAACAAAGTGAGACTCTGTCTGAAAAAAAAAAAAAAGAACTTCCAGACTGACCTTCAGAGAGCTTCTTTGGTTTCTAGACCCTTCCTGGGGCTGTAAATAGTAGGTTCCCTTTGCTATAGCTGCTTCTCTTTTCACAACTCTCTATTCATCCCTATTTCTTCTCCACACAGGGCCATAGCCCCGAAAAGGCAAACGAAATCCTGATTCGAGATGGACCCAATACACTTACCCCACCTCCTACCTCTCCAGAATGGATCAAATTCTGTAAACAACTGTTTGGTGGCTTCTCCCTCCTACTATGGACTGGTTCTGGTCTCTGCTTCTTGGCCTATGGCATCCAAAGTAATTACCATGAGGAAGTTATGAAAGATAATGTGAGTCTTTTCAACTAATACTGGCAGCCCAGTCTCTGCTCAGCCCATTGCTCTTCTGCTCAGCAGTCCTCTGACTCTGAAGTCCTCTGGCCCAAACCCCTATAACTCCCATCACTTTCTAAGATAGCCCTTGGTCCATTCTGGTTCCCCTCTCCTTTTATCCAGAAAGCTACTGGTTCAGCTCCTTGGAATATAGGATTTCCCCCAGAAACTTGCTTTCCTTTGATGATCTTCCCAATTGATCATCAGAACATTTTGCAATCCCTTTCTCTTCCCCACAATTTTAACCTCTTTATCTCCTTCCTCCTGGTCTCCCTCACCATCCACTCCCCACCCCATGAACAGCCTTCCTGGAGAGAAAGATATAGGTCTTCTCTGACTTAGGAATTTGGCTGACTGCTCACCATAGCTCAGGGTTCCTTCACCAGGAAGCCAAGAGAGCTGGCCCAGTCTCAGATTCTTCTGAACTCCCTCTGCTTGCCAACTCAGTCCTATGGAGTCCTATGGTTTCTTACACCTAGAGAAACTGCTGTTACCCTTGCAAGGTGATTTTCTGAGGATGAAGAGGAAGAGATGGAACCACTGACAAATGCTTTCTTCCCCACTCTAGCTGTACCTGGGAGGCATACTAGCCATCGTGGTGATCATCACTGGCTGCTTCTCATATTTCCAGGAGACCAAGAGCTCCAAGATCATGGAGTCTTTTAAGAACATGGTGCCACAGGTAGGGTTGGTGTGGGAGGAGGTGCAGAACGTGGCCAAATACACAATTTCAAATTCCCATAGAAAATTATCTCCTACAAAGAGTGAGCTGAGTACGGCTGTTGATAAGGCCTTAAAAGTACCTGGAAAAGCTGTGAAACCCTGAAAAAGACACAACATAATGTATGAAGTAGTCTTGTCTGGAGGGAATAATCTGAATCTCATGAAGAAGCACCATATAAACCTCAAATGAGAACATTCTTTTTTTTAGAAAGGCAAGTGTTGGTGGGGAGGCTGGATTCTTCCAATGTCAATGACATCAAAGACAAAAAACAGCTGTGGGAATGTTCCAGAGTAAAGGAGGCTAACGAGACATGTAAACTAACTGTAGTACCTGGCCCTGGACCTTATTCTGTCTCAGAGGGGAAAATAACACTTTAAAGAATATATTAGGTCAATTGACAAAACTGGAATACAGACAGTAGATTAAAGTATTATATCAATGTGAAACTTACTGAAACTGATAACTGTATTGTGTTTAAGAGAATATCTTATTATTGGGAAATGCACACTGAAATATTTAAGACAGAAGATCATGATGTGTGTAGCTTACTCTCAAATAGTTCAGGGGAAAAATTATACACACACACACATAGAAACAGAACAAGTGATAAAACAAATAGGGTGAAATGTTAATAGGCAAAACTGGGTAGAGGTTATATGGATGTTTTTGGTATTATTTTTATTCTTGTAACTTTTCTGAAAGTCTAAAATTATTTTTTAATTAAAAGTTTTTTAAAGGTACCTGGAAAAAACATGACAGTATAGGGTTTCTTAGGCTGGAAACTTGGAAAGGAATGTGCTCCAAAGTTTCCCAAAGATCAAGTTCTAGCATTATAGCCCAGGATTCTCTTCCTCCTTTGGCATCAAAATAACCTAATTCTTTCCTTAGGCAAGAGTTTTGGGACAAAGTGTTTCGGTGGTTTTGAACTAGGAACTTAGAGATTATCTGTTAGCTTTTGCTACCTAACAAACCACCCAAAGCTTAGTGGCTTAAAACAACAAACATTCTCTTTCTCACAATCCTCTGGCTAGGCTGTTGTTCTGGCCTGAGCTGAGCTGAGTTGGTGCTGGATGGTCGGAGACAACTTCATTCACAGGTCTGGGGCCTCGGCTGAGATGACTGTGACAGCTGGGGCCTTCTCTTCTTGATCTCTCTTCTTCCAGGAGGCTGATCTGGCCTGTTCCTATGGAGGTAGAAGGGTGCCCAATAACAATAGGGAAAGCCCCAACATGAAAGCACTTTTTAAAACTCTGCTTGCATCACATTTGCTAATGTTCTATGGTCCAAAGCAAGTCCCATGGCCAAGCTTAGGCTTAGGAGTGGAGAGATAGACCCCTACCTTTTAATCTGAACAGCACCAAAGTCACATTGCAAAGGGCCCTGCAGACATCCACGGTAGGAATTTGCGGTCTGCCAAAGACACTTTCGAGAATGATGTGATGGGTGACGGTAAGAAAGGGGAGTAAGAAGTAAGGAGCCTAGGAATAGGAGAGTGTAGGCTAGGAGTAGGATGGGGGAAGAAGAAAGTGTTGGAAATGACCCTGCACTATCCTCCCATAGCAAGCTCTGGTAATTCGAGGTGGAGAGAAGATACAGGTTGATGTGCAAAATGTGGTGTTGGGAGACGTGGTGGAAGTGAAGGGTGGAGACCGAATCCCTGCTGACCTCCGGCTTATCTCTGCACAGGGATGTAAGGTAAGGCGATGTGGAAAGCTATGGGATCATGCCAAGCATGGTCTTGAGGCACAGTAGGGACCTATTCAGAACTTTGAGAAGTTACAAGCGCAAATTTGTTGGAGAGAGCAAGGTGGTGGTGTGTAAATTTGCTTCTCTCTGTATGTCAGTGATGGTGATAACAGATAAAGTTATGTTGTCTTTATAAATGAATCTGCCTTTTTCCCCATGCTCACCTTATGACCCATCCTCTCTCCCATCCCAGGTAGACAACTCATCCTTGACTGGGGAGTCAGAGCCTCAGTCCCGCTGCCCTGATTTCACCAATGAGAACCCTCTGGAGACCCGAAACATCTGCTTCTTTTCCACCAACTGTGTGGAAGGTGAATATCGCATCATAAGTAGCATAGAATCAAAAGTATGGACCAAAACAGAACGATTTCAATGATTATCTTCTAAAACTAGTGGGGTAGGTAAGAGCTAGTAAATAGTCTATGTTCTCCATCACCATGAACTGTATGTCATTTGGTGAAAGGTCAAAGCCACCATTTCCACATTTGCGCAATGATGATACTAAAAGTTATCCCATAGATTTTTGTGTGGCTTGAGATAATATGTATAAAATGTTCAGCACAAGGCCTAATACACTGTAAGTGACCTATAATTGTTAGCTATTATTCTAGAGAGTGAATGGACTATGCTCTATGAGCTGAAAATGGCACAAATCACAGGAAAATTATTCAGCCCTGCTAGGTCATTCTTTTGCTAAGGTAAACCCAAACTTCTAACGAGTCCTCTCTCCAAGAGAGGATATTGGCATTGGAAATCTGAGTTACCAGACGTGCCACTTAGACTTTGCCACTCAAACTTTAGCTTTGCTCCTAGAACCTAGAACATCATTTAACAGGGAGGTGCTTCTAGCCAAAGTAATATCAAGGGGCCAGGTATGGTGACTAACACTTGTAATCCCAGTGCTTTAGGAGAGCAAGGAGGGAGGATCACTTGAGGCCAGGAGTTTGAGACCAGCCTGGGTAACTAGCAAGTGCCCATCTCTACAAAAAAAAAAAAAAAGTATATATACTGTCCCCGAAAATAAGACAGGGTCTTATATTTATTTTTCCTCAAGAAGACACCCTAGGGCTTATTTTCAGGGGATGTGTTATTTTTTTTTAAGTATGGTACAACAATCTACATTTATTCAAATATAGTTAAGTCGTTCTTCTTCTGGAACATCATAACTCGCCAAACCCCCAACTCGCCAATTCCATCCTGAATTTCTTGTGACTCTATTTCCTTTAGAACCATTGGCCCCAATCTCTCATGCAGAGCAATAGAGCTCTCATGGGGTAGATGAGAAGGGCTGCTCGTCTTCTTTACCACTCCAGGACGAAATGCACGGGGTGTGCAGATACACTGTGTAGCCACGCCCAGCACTAGGTCTTATTTTCAGGGTATGGCTCATATTGTGCAAATGCTTAGAAATCCTGCTAGGGCTTATTTTATGGGTAGGTCTTATTTTCGGGGAAACACGGTATATCCAGGCATAGTAGTGTGCCCCTGTAGTCCCAGCTACTCAGGAGTCTGAGGCAGAAGAACTGCTTGAGCCCCGGAGTATGAGGCTGCAGTGAGCTATGATTGTGGCACTGCACTCCAGCCTGGGTGACAGAGGGAGACTCTGTCTCTAAAACAAACAAAAACTCTGGCTCAAGGGGGAAGGGGGCATGGGCAATATACGTAACCTTAACACTTATACCCCCATAATATGCTAAAATAAAAAATAAAACAAAAAAACTGATAATAAGGCATTCAATATCACTATGTCAATCTCTCTTTTGCCCTTTTCCTTTAAGGAGGCCTGAAGACTCCCTGAAACACACTTGAAAAACCATTATTCATGCTTAAGAATAAATGTTTGGGTATATAGAAATAGATATTTTTTATTGAATGTATAGTATATGTCAAGGGCTATAGATATTATTTCTCTGAGTCTCACAAAACTGTGTTGTGATAGGGATATGTAAAATTATCCCTATTTTTATATATGAAAGACTCAGGTTTAAAGAAATTAAGTGCTGTGCTCAAGAGCACAACTCAACAGAAAAGATAAGGTAAAGGATGTTAAGGTGGGTCTGTCTCCAAAGTCCATGCTTTTTCTGCAGACCATGTTCTGCACTAATAGATTGCTAATGACCTCTCCGGTAATCAAAGTATTTAATTTGAAAATGCCTGAAAGGATAAGAGTAATGTTAAGATTGAATAGACTATCAGAAAGAATCCAGCTAGAAAATTATATATACATATTAAAATAATTTTTTAAAAATCGCTTGGACAGAAAGGTGCAAGTTGGTGAGCTTTCTCCAAAGACACTAGACTTCTACTATTTATATTAGATTTTAGGAAGAAATTTGCCCTGATTTGCTCTTGCAAAGTAGGTTTCTCACCAGCTAAGTATATATTTCAGAAAAAGGGGATGGGGGAAAGTGGTTGATGGCATTCCATCTGGGAAACAAGGGTCTGTTTACATGGAAAAGGGTTTTATATGAGACTAATGGAAGCCAAGATGTGGCCAACAAGGTGGGACTAAGTTGAGGGAGCTCTTGACTGCTGGATTGAGAAATTTCTCTGCAATTTACAAACTAGTAGCATAACTTTAACCTTTACCCTTGCCTCCCAGCTTTCATCACTGTGGACCCTGATGAGGCTGTGGTTCAAACTTCTCTTTGAGTTCTCATGCATCGTCAAGGAAACCTAAGCTATTTCTCTGGCAGTATATGGAAGGTGTATAAAGGAGCCAGTTTAGCCTGGGATATGAGATGCTTGGCCTTTTCAACCTTTCCTAGGTTGACGTCAACACACCCCATCTCTAGACATATTGGGATTAGCTATTCCCTGTCTCCAAGCATGAGGAAACCATAGCAGAAGGAATAAAAATGAAGAACTGGACTAAACCATGGCAAAAAAATAGGCATAAATGACACCATACTCTCTACTCACCCTCCCACCCCACCAAAAATATGAAACCCTTTTAGCATCTCTCAAGTATTTTTGTATCTTCTTTCCACAAGGTCCAATGGATGCCTGTGGCAACCAGTTTGAAGGTCGTCTATAGAGTGTTTCATACTGTGAACCTTTCCAGAATTCCTTCTCCACAAAAACATTGACCTGACCTGTCTGCTATATGAGTAGGACCCTGCTCTCAGACTCATATAGCTGTAGCTGACCTTAGAAATGGAGACCACCAACTGCTCTATGCTACAATGTTTTTGGGAGCTGCTAGATTAGAGCTGCCCCTCCTAGGTCACATGTATGATTTTATATTGGTCCTTCCGGAGACCCTAAACTTGTCTAAATAAAGAGAAGAAAGAAACTAATATTTGGGTGTCCACTCTGTGCCCAATCCTCTTCTTTTACAAACATTTAATTCTCACAGTTTTGTAGGTGCTTTCATCCCATTTTAAAGATGAGGAAGCCCGAGTTCTAGGGATTTTAAGCAAATTTCCCTAGAGAAAATAGTAAGTAATTTGGAATGTTGAACTTCCAGATCTGAGTCTTTCTGCTTTTAGAATAAGCGCTATTCCTATAATATGTTGCTTTTTTTTTTTGACTGATTCTCTGACTTTAATGGTAGAAATTTCAATCATTATGGTAAAGCAAGAATTATTATTTAAAGCAAAGAGTTTTGTCATGCACCTCATTTCAAGCCATGTAGATAAGCGGCCAGCGTCATACGTGTGTAAAGCCAAACATGATGTCCAGGCTGCCCTTCTGACTCAGGGGTGGTGCTACTGGAGAGAAAAGCAGGACCCTGGCAAGCTCAGGAGCCCAGCTGTTATGGCCTGTGCTACCCAGCAGAGGTCAGACTGACTCCAGCCAGCAAGGCAGGGAGGGGGCTCAGGTTAAAGTAGGATTTCTCAACTCCTGACACTTGGGGCTGGATAATTCTCTGCTGTGGGGGGAGGGGAGGGCTGTGCAGTGCATTGTGGGATGTTTAGCAGCATCCCTGGCTTCTACCTACTAGATGCCAGTAGCAGCCTTCTTCCGCCCAGGTGATGATGACAAAAAATGTTAACCAAACATTGCCAAATGTCCCTAGGAGTGGAGGACAGGGTGGGAATTGCCTCCAGTTGAGAACTACTGGGTTAGAGGCTAAGCAGATGTTGCCACATAGGATTCTACCAGATGGGTAACCACTGTTCCTGGGGATCTAGAAGCTATTCAGCTGCTGCGGGCAAAGCAAGAAATATACAAGCAATAGAAGATATTTCGATTAAGTGTAATGAAGGCCTTCTCAATGGTGAAGACAATTAGGCAATAAAAGTAGGTGTCTCTGGAGAACTGTGAAATCTCTTCAGAGATTTTTCAGACTAGGAGACCTTTATTTGTATAAACTAAATATAAGGAGAATAGAACATAATGACCTCCCGGAGGGCCTTGAGTTTCCACTTTGTTTTTGACCATTGACAGCTTTCTTTTTGTAGGACCCAAACCCAACAGGCTTTACAACTCAGACTTGACATGTCTTGGGTGACTACATCTGATAAAACAAAAAAACAGTTTCTCTCTCTCTCTCTCTCTAAAGTCACTCTGATCACAGAACGCTTGTATCCGACATGCATGGGGATTTCTCCCACCAGCAACCAATTCCCCAGAAGACACCAACGGGGGGGGTCCTATAATTTAACTCAGTTCTGACACTATCTACCTGGAGATAGCATCAGATCCCACAAGTTGAGGACTCAGTCCTGCAAGACTGCCCCCAACTTCAGACACCAGTTGCAAGTCCCAGGTTGTGACTTATACTTCTGACTGACCAGCTATAAATCAGGGTTCCCACAGCCCTTTCCTTGGGTTTTACCAATTTCCTAGGATGGCTCACAGAACTCAGGGAAACACTTTACTAACATTTACCCAGTTACTATAAAAGATATCACAAAGGGGCCGGGCGCGGTGGCTCACGCCTGTAATCCTAGCTCTCTGGGAGGCCGAGGTGGGCAGATTGCTCGAGGTCAGGAGTTCGAAACCAGCCTGAGCAAGAGCGAGACCCTCGTCTCTACTATAAATAGAAAGAAATTAATTGGCCAACTAATATATGTATATATAAAAAAAAATAGCCGGGCATGGTGGCGCATGCCTGTAATCCCAGCTACTCAGGAGGCTGAGGCAGGAGGATTGCTTGAGCCCAGGAGTTTGAGGTTGCTGTGAGCTAGGCTGACACCACGGCACTCACTCTAGCCTGGGCAACAAAGCGAGACTCTGTCTCAAAAAAAAAAAAAAAAGATATCACAAAGGATACCGACGAACAGCCAGATGGAAGAGATGCATAGGGCAACACATGTGGGAAGGGGCGTGGAGGCGCTTCCATCCCCTCTCCAGCCCAGGTGGCTACTCTTGGACATCTCCACATGGTCATCTACCCGGAAGCTCCGCAAACCCAGTCCTTTGGGTTTATCATGAAGGCTTCATTACGTAGGCATGATTGATTACATTATTGGCCATTGGTGATCAACTCGACCTACAGCTCCTCTCCCCTCCCCAGAGGTCTGGGGGTGGTGCTAAATGTCCTACCCCTCTAATCCCGTGGTTTGCTCCTCTGGCAACCAACCCCCATACTGTGGCTGTCCAGGAACCCACCAAGAGTCACCTCAAGTGGGACCTGAGCAGTGTTTGTGATAGGAGCTACTCTCTAACTGTGAGGCCTAGGGCAGGAGTCCTTCTTGCCTGGGTCTAAGAACAGTACTGCTGCCCCACAAAAATCAGGGGTAGAGAGTCTTGATTACTTGATTAGCTATTGTTTCCCGCCACCTCTGAATTCCTAAAGTGCCTATAATTAGTGAAGTAAAGTTTAACTTTTTTTTTTTTTTTTGAGACAGAGTCTCGCTTTGTTGCCCAAGCTAGAGTGCCATGGCGTCAGCCTAGCTCACAGCAACCTCAAACTCCTGGGCTCAAGCAATCCTCCTGCCTCAGCCTCCCGAGTAGCTGGGACTACAGGCATGCGCCACCATGCCCGGCTAATTTTTTCTCTATATATTAGTTGGCCAATTAATTTCTTTCTATTTATAGTAGAGACGGGGTCTCGCTCTTGCTCAGGGTGGTTTCGAACTCCTGACCTTGAGCAATCCGCCCGCCTCAGCCTCCCAGAATGCTAGGATTACAGGCATGAGCCACCATGCCCGGCCTAAAGTTTAACTTTTATCTACAAAAAAAAAAAAAAAAAGAGTCACCTCATTAGAGCAAAGATCCTCCTATCAGCTTCCGAGGGATTTAGGAGTTCTGTATCAGACATTCCTATCACTTAGGGAATTATAAAGGTGTTGGGAGCTCTTTGTTAGAAACCTGGGTCAAAGATCAAACATTAGAACAAGAGATTCTCCTAGCACCCCTATCTTCAAGGGTTTCAGGAGCTTTATGTCAGGAACTAAGGACAGAGACCAATATATACACTTCTTATTATATCGCAATATCACATTGTCCTTTCCCCCTTCATCCACAGGAACAGCCCGGGGGGTCGTGATTGCAACAGGAGATGACACAGTGATGGGCAGAATTGCCTCCCTGACGTCAGGCCTGACAGTTGGCAAGACCCCCATTGCTACTGAGATTGAACACTTCATCCATCTGATCACTATGGTGGCCATGTTCCTCGGTGTCACTTTTTTTGGGCTCTCACTTATCTTGGGCTACGGCTGGCTGGAGGCTGTCATTTTTCTTATTGGCATCATTGTGGCCAATGTGCCTGAGGGGCTGTTAGCCACTGTCACTGTGAGTAGACAGGGTGGAAAATGACCTCAGGACAGACAAACCACCCGTGGGAAATGAAATCACTAGTATCTCTTTTGTTGTTGAACCTCTCAAATGCAGAATATTCCTGATATGTATATATGGGTGTCAGGAATAATTTAGCTTCCAAAATTACATTGACTTCCTCTGCCCATATCTTCTGTTGCCTTCCCTTTCTCTTCAATGAGAAAGGAAGGAAGTTTTGATGGAAAAAGCATTGGCTTATAAGTCACCAGGAGTGAACTCTAGTTCTGGCTGTACTGTTTGGTGAACTTGTTGAAATCACTTAACATCTCTAGGCCTCAATATATTCATCAGTTTATAGAGGAAGATTAATTTAAAATTATAGAATCTTACTGGAAAGGATGTCAAAGGCCACATAAATTCAACCTTTTAACCCATGCTGAATACCCTCTAAAACTGCTGTCCCCAACCCTCAGGGTGGACCAGAACCTGCTGGGCACAGCAGGAGGTGAGTGGCAAGGCCAGTGGAAGCTTCCTGTGTATTTTTCCTGTGTAAAATTTCTGTATTTACAGCCCTTCCCCATCACTTGCATGACCACCTAAGCTCCACCTCTCCTTCCCCAATCCCCAGTCTGTGGAAAAATCGTCTTCTATGAAACCGGTCCCTGGTGCCTAAAAGGTTGTGGACTGCTGCTCTAAACAATCCATGGAAGATGATTATTATTTTAGTAATCGGAAGCCCACTCCTTTCTGCCTCAGTTTATTTCATTCTTGGATTGCTCTAGTTAAATTTCATTGTGTTTAGCATAAATATGATTCTCTCTTTGGTCCTAGTTTTGCCAGTTGAAAAGGCATAAAATAAGTCAATTCTCTCTCTTCTAAGGACTAGCCCTTTAGCTTTTTGATGGTAGCCATTAAGTTCCCTTGAACTCTCTGGGTAGAACATGAAACAATCCCTTTTCCCTTAGCCCTTCTTCCTGTGGCATGGTCTTCTGACTGCTTGCCTTGCTGATCACCTGTTTGGGGTATGCTCCAGTTTATCAATCTTCTTCTTAACGTAGAGATGAGAATAATGCTCAGGGTATGTTCGGACTAGCATGAAAACATCAGGACCAGTGATAATTATGTAAATAAGTTATAACCCCTAATCCTACCATTAGAATTCCACATTTACATAATCATAGCTTAAGAATTCATTAGCTTTAAAAACAACCTATACAACAGACGTTTCTGGTAAGAAAAAAAAATAAATAAATAAAAAAAAATAAAAAAAATAAATAAAAACAACCTTGCCATACACCTGGCTTACACTGAGTTTATGATCAACAAAAAATTTTGGCTTAAATGATTTTTCAAGTCCTTTTCAGTGCTGTGAAATTTCTTACAGCATCATCATCTCTTCCCCATATTTTTTTAAACTACTGGCACAACGGCCCCCCCATCATTCCAGACAGAGTCTCACTCCATTGCCCTGAATAGGGCGCAGTGGCATCAGCCTAGCTCACAGCAACCTCAAACTCCTGGGCTCCAGCAATCCTCTTGCCTCAGCCTCCCGAGTAGCTGGGACCACAGGCACACACCACCATGCCCGGCTAATTTTTCTATTTTTAGTCGAGATAGGGTCTTGCTCTTGCTCAGGCTGGTCTGGAACTCCTGAGCTCAAGCAAACCTCCCGCCTCAGCCTCCCAGAATACTAGGATTACTGGCAAGAGCCACCATAGCCCACCCACACCCTGCATCTTAAATCACAATAGAAATTAGCTATGCATATGGTTCCTGGAATGACTGGACTTGAGAAAGAAGTGTGGCCTGAACTTGAATAGAAAAGAGGCTGCTGAATTGAAAAGATAAAGAGGATCCTGGGGGAGAGGAAAATTTCAGGGGAAGAAGGCAGATCATTCTCTGATACCCTGGTAAAGGAATATATTCTTTTTGAAACTCTTGCCATAAAGCACAAACCAAAACCACTCTCCTAATTTCCTTTACCACAGCCACAGATGGAATTTCTAAAAGAGTGGGTGGGAACCAAAGGGAAATAAGTACAAAAAATTAAAATAGCAATAAAAACAACCAAATTTCCAAAATGCAAACAGTCCGTCTCTCCTCTTTATCCTCTTCCCTCTTCCGGGCTCCAGGTGTGCCTGACCCTGACAGCCAAGCGCATGGCACGGAAGAACTGCCTGGTGAAGAACCTGGAGGCGGTGGAGACGCTGGGCTCCACGTCCACCATCTGCTCGGACAAGACGGGCACCCTCACCCAGAACCGCATGACGGTCACCCACTTGTGGTTCGACAGGACTGTGTATGAGGCCGACACCAGCGAAGAAGCGACTGGTGACTAGTGGTATTGGTGGAACAAGAGTACAGGGATTTGGGGAATGTGATGAGTGAGCTGAGAGAGACTGGTGAGTCCAGACAGAGAAAAGAGAGCCTGAAAGTGGAGCAGAGAAAAGGGAGTATGGAGGAAAGGAAGTGTTGCCTCTGTGAAGTATTTGGGTATGAAACAGGATGTAAATAATCCCTTGCTTTAAATTCTCTTATCCCCCCGCTCACAATTCTTCCATTCTTTCTCCCTAGGGACAGTAATTCCTGAGGGCTCAGATACCTGGTATATCCTGGCCCGAATCGCTGGCCTCTGCAACCGGGCTGACTTTAAACCTAATCAGGAGAGACTGTCCATAGCTAAGGTGTCAGACCTAAGGGGGAAGAGGGGACCTCAGTGTCCAGGGTATAATCTGCCCTTTCCCCAGAATTCTCTTTCCTGGTGCTCAGTGATTTCCCCCAGGCACCCCTCCCTTCCCTATTCCACCCCATCCTTGTTACCACAGTCAAGCCCCATGCCCAGGTAGCATGCCCCTGGCCCTTATACAAACCTTATCCCGGCAGAGGACAACAACAGGTGATGCTTCTGAGTCAGCCCTCCTCAAATTCATCGAGCAGACGTACAGCCCTGTGTCAAAAATGAGAGAAAAAAACCCGAAGGTGGCAGAGATTCCCTTTAATTCTACCAACAAATACCAGGTACAGAACCGACAAAGGTAGGAGGAATGGTGGTGGAGCATAAGCTCATCATTGAGGGAAAGGGGAGCTTTGCCTTTGCTTTCAACTTCGCCTCTGAGCAGAGGAATAGTTCAACAGAACCAGTATCCCAATTAAGAGGAAGGTTCGGGCTGGGCACAGTGGCTCACGGTGGCTCCCAGCACTCTGGGAGGCCAAAGCGGATGGATGGTTTGAGCTCAGGAGTTCGAGATCAGCCTGAGCAAGAGCAAGACCCCATCTCTACTACAAAAAATAGAAAGAAATTAGCTGGACAACTAAAAATATATAGAAAAAATTAGCCAGGCATGGTGGCATGTGCCTGTAGTCCCAGCTACTTGGGAGGCTGAGGCAGGAGGATTGCTTGAGCCCAGGAGTTCAAGGTTGCTGTGAGCTAGGCTGATGCCATAGCACTCTAGCCCCGGGCAACAGAGTAAGACTTTGTCTCAAAAAAAAAAAAAAAAAAAGAGGAAAGTTCGCCTCAAGAGAAAGTAACAAGGCTGGGGCGCAGTGGCTCATGCCTATAAACCTAGCACTTTGGGAGGCTGAGCCAGGAGGATTGCTTGAAATTAGGAGTTCGAGACCAGCGCTAGCAACATAGTGAGACACCGCCCCTGTCCCTACAGAAAAATTTAAAAAATTAGCCAGGCGTGGTGGCATGCGCCTGCAGTTCCAGCTACTTGGGAGGCCAAGGCTGGAAGATCACTTGAGCCCAGGAGTTTGAGGTTGTAGTGAGCTATGATGGCTTCATTGCATTCTAGTCAGGGTGACAGAGCAACATTCTGTCTCAAAAAACAAAAAAGAGAGAGAAAGTGACAAACAGGTAAAGAGAAGTAAAACAGGTGATAAAAAAAGAGGCATTCAGTCCTAAGCAGAGCTCTGAGCCTGCACGACTTGTAGAGAAAGCAAGTCATAAATGCTTTCTGAAATGTTCATAGGTAGCAGAGGTTGGTAGGAGAAAGTCATGTTAAAGTCATGTGCAGCTGTTAGGAGGTACCGCTATGTCTACTACAAGATTTGCCACAGCAGAATTGGGTTTCATTTGCACAACACTGTTTCATTAGCCATCAAATATTTCTTTCCACTTCATGCCTGCAGTTCTAGCAGCTGCCATCAGGTAGGCCATCGGGGTGTTTGTGTGTTTGTGAAGTTTTTTTTTTTCCAAGGAACATTTTGATCCATTATTCAGGAAGGAGTAGACAAGAGAAGGGGAAATGCTGAGTGAGGGACTGTGGTGGCACTAACAATAAAATCCATGAGAGGGACAGGAAAGACAGTATTTCTCTCCCAAGTCAGAATCCTGGCAGATTTGGAAGAGAGGATTATGGTAGAAAGTGGGAACAGTTGCATTTCAATGACTACAGCTCTGTGACGTACAGTGTGAGTTCCATGGGGCAATCATGATTCACTCAGGGGGCTGTATTCTCCAACTCCACGCATTACTGAAAAGGCCAGGCATTCAGGTGTGGGTAACAGAGGAAATGAGACTCTCAAGTCATTCCGGTCAGTTTTTTTGTTTGTTTTGTCTTTTATTTTATTTTATTTTATTTTATTTTATTTTATTTTATTTTATTTTATTTATTTATTTATTTTGAGACAGAGTCTCGCTTTGTTGCCCAGGCTAGAGTGAGTGCCGTGGCGTCAGCCTAGCTCACAGCAGCCTCAAACTGCTGGGCTCAAGTAATCCTGCTGCCTCAGCCTCCCGAGTAGCTGGGACTACAGGCATGTGCCACCATGACCATGCCCGGCTAATTTTTTCTAATATATATATTAGTTGGCCAATTAATTTTTTTGTATTTATAGTAGAGACAAGGTCTTGCCCTTGCTCAGGCTGGTTTTGAATCCTGACCTCCAGCAATCCGCCCAGCCTTGGCTTCCCAGAGTGCTAGGATTACAGGCGTGAGCCACCACGCCCGGCCTGTTTTGTCTTTTAGAGATGGGGTCTCACTATATTGCCCAGGCTGGTCTCAAACTCCTGAGCTCAAGCAATCCTTCTACCTCAGCCCTCCCAAGTAGCTGGGACTACAGGCACATGCCACCATGACCAGCTCAGTTTTGCTTCTCTGTCTTAGAAAAACACATAATAATAAAATCTATATAGATTTTTAAAAACCAAATTATACCTATATTTTCACATTGAAGACTGAGCAAATCCTAGGGTAATGTGAAATGTTATTAAAAAAAAAAAAAAACAAGAAAGAAGACTGAACAAGTAAGACTTAAATAGATCCATCGCTTTTTGTCTCAATTGGTTTTCAGTCAGTGTAATAAAACAGGTCTCCTAGGCTCAAACTGCAAACTTATTTCCATTTTTTTTCTGCTATTTAGTGGCCTCACTAACCAGACAGGAATTTTGTGGCTTGGCAGGGCCTTTGACTGGAGCAAAGCCTTTGGAAAGAATTAGGTACTTCTCCCTCCATGTGATTCAAAATAAAAGCAAAACACAGGTACAACATTTGTTGGGATGTTCAACAAATAGCGACTTCCCCCCAATGAATCACGGTTAGTGTCTTTTCTATCGAATATATCCGGCTCCAACAGCAGAATTGTCCACCGTGGTGCATCCAGTGTCTAAGGGCAGCCCACTGGCCACCCCGCTCTGGCGGGCACTTATTCTGGGAGGCTCCAAGTTAGCTGCTCCAAAGGTAGTTCTCCAGTCTTTGCAAGGGACATCTCTAGCCTGCTGGTAGCTTGCAGAGCTTGGTCTTTTTCTTTCTCTGAGACAGAAAGGAAACAAAGAAGATACCCTGTCCTGGCATTTCCAGATTTTTCCCTCCATCTTTTTTGTTTGTAATTTTCTACCAAGATGTGATTTTTCTGTGACCAAGTTACTAGCTTAAGTAGGACTTGCTATCACCTTCCAGGCCTTTCATTCATTCAACAGATATTTATTGAGCACTCAGAAAATTGAGCTTTTTTTGACCTTTTACAGCTTTCTGCTTAAACGAGTTAAGGTTCTTCCTCTTAATTGCTTAAGCATATTGTGAACATGACGAGAGAGATTTTAACATAACCACGTTTTACACATTGGTTTCCCACCCTGCTTACCCCGTGGGTGGGCAGCATAGTCTGGCCTCTTCTGTGTTCCCACAGTTCCTTTCAATGCGCTGATTTTGTTCCCAATGGGGGCAGGGGGTGAGGACTGGCATTTCCTTTCAATGGCAAGAGGAACCCCATAGAGAGTCCTTTTTCATATATTAGAGACCAAGAGAAAATGCAAAACCCAAACTGATCTCTTTCTTTCTCCTTGTTGCTGTTGTTTCCTCAGGTTCACTTCCTGAATATGCTCCTTCCCTCCCAAACACACCTACAAGGACCCCCACACCAAACCCTACTAGCTAGTTACTCTCAGGGGACTTCTCATGCTTTTAGGAGAGAGTGGCCTGGGGACAAGAATAACTAACCTATTTTTGGATTGCGCTTCACAGTTTTCAAAGTATTTTTTACTCTATTTCTCATAAAAACCCAGTGAAAGAGGCAGGACAGAACACTACACATTTTATGGAAGGAACTAAGGTTTAGCAAGGTTCAACAGATGTCCTGAGGTCATAGGACATTCTTGCTGGTCCCAGAACACAGGTCTTCAGACTTTTCAAGCTTCCTGTCCTGTCTATTCTGCTGTCTTTCTTGGCAGCCCCCCCTCCCACTTCTGCTCTCTAGCCACCCAGTCAGCAAGGAAGCGGGTGGAAAGTGAGAGTGCCTGGCTCTGCCCTCAGAGAGCTTCCAGTCTGGCTGAGAAGACAATGGAGATTCATGTGTGCAAACAATACCAGGCCAGGCCGGGTTTCCTGGAAAGACTGGGTTCAACCTCGGTCAGATTTGACTAGGGGCAGGGGGGAAAAAAGAAAGGGGAATGAGAAACAGGTTGCTTGTCTTTTAACCTTCAAAACCTTGCCCTTGTTTTTTTTGCCCTGACGCTTGCTCTCTCCTCCTGTTCCACCGATGCCTCCTCTCTCTCCCTAGATGTCCATCCACCTGCGGGAGGAAAACTCCCAGACCCACATGCTGCTGATGAAGGGTGCTCCTGAAAGGATCTTGGATTTTTGTTCTACTTTCCTTCTGAAAGGGCAGGAGTACCCCATGGACGATCAGATGAAGGAAGACTTCCAAAATGCCTACTTAGAACTGGGGGGACTAGGGGAGCGTGTGCTAGGTGAGGAGCCGTGGGGGAAGCCTTTGAAGAATGGCATCAAAGTGCTTGTTATTTGTGGGATGAAAAATTTAGGATGTTGGGGTGAGCAGGATAGGGACCTGGAGAGCTGAATGAGTACTGATCCCTTCTTCTGTTTCTCTCCAGGGTTCTGTTTCTTGAATCTGCCTAGCAGCTTCTCCAAAGGATTCCAATTTAATACAGATGAAATAAATTTTCCTATGGATAACCTTTGTTTTGCGGGCCTCATATCCATGATCGACCCTCCCCGAGCTGCAGTGCCCGATGCCGTGAGCAAGTGTCGTAGTGCAGGGATTAAGGTAAATACCTGCCCACCCTGCAGGCCCCCCACAGGACTCAAGTTGGAGAAGCTACCAGAAAGCCTTGCACAGAGTCAGTGCTTAATAATCTTAGTTTAATTGAATTGATTTCTGCTTCCTTGGGCTTATACTTTTTAGTCTTATGAGATACTCAATAGTAAGTTTCCTCTCTAGTTAGAATGCTACTTGCATTGAACGTTAGAATCACCAGGGGAGCTTTACCAATCTGATGTCTAGGCCACACCCCAGAACAATTTAATTAGAAACTCTTGGGAGGGGACCTGGGGCAATTGTATTTTTAAAAGCTTTCCTGGAGATCCCAATGAAAAGACATGTTAGAGAACCAGTGTCCAGTGTAGTGCTTCTCAAACTGATGTGCATGGGAATCACTTAGAGATTTTTTTTTTTTTAAATGCAGATCTTGATTTAGTAGGTCGAGGTCACCGTGAGCTTCTGGCTTTCTAATAAGCTATTCCCAGGTGCTGTGTTGCTGCTGGTTTGCAGTCCATACGGCCACACTACCACACACTAGGAGTAGCAAAGTGCTGGAAGATGTCGTGTAAACGTGCTGCCGGGATGGGTCGTGAAGGGGGAGGCCATGAGGGCTGGGAGTCTGTAGCAGGCGGCAGTGAGAATGAGATACTGAGAGCTGGGAGATCCTCAACAGGCCTGACTTGGTGTGAGCAACTGCCTTAACAGATACACGTCCAGGAATAAAAGCTAGAAACCAAAACGAAATGCACCAAGAGTGAAATTCAGCCACAGATCAAACATGGAAGTGGAAAGTCCTCTTTGGTCAGGGTGGGCCTTGCACTTCATGGGATGGCAGAAATAGAATTCCTCAAATTCTGAGATGTTCAGTATCCCATGTTTCCTGGGTCAAATTCTAAGTCTCATATATATCTTCACAGATTAGGTATTGTACCTTTCCTGTGCATACCTTATGCTCCAGATCACCAGACTTGGGAGAGTGTGGACTTAGCCTAGAGGGACTCTGGAGGTATTTCAGGAGAACTAGATGCTGTCTGTTGGAGCTGCCTTTGTGTTAGACCTGTGACTGTTGACAGTTTGTCTGGGGGTCAGCCTGGGCCATGTGTGCTGGGAGGGCACTTGGAAACCTTGGGCAGTGGCTCCCAGGTAGTGGCCATTTCTTAATTCCTTCACTTGATAATTATTTGTTGATGGCTCAGTGTGTGTTCAGCATTGTGCTAGGGCAAGAAACTTAACAAGGAAGAGCCACCTTGCAGAGCTCTCAGTCCAGTGGAGGAGAAAGACAAACATGAAGTCACCACACAGAGAAGTGATAGTGTAGAAATATGGAAAAACAGAATGCTATGAAAGCACAGAGCATACGAACCTAATCTCTGGGTACCAATGGGACAGGACCAGGTAGTAGGTATCCAAAAAGGGGCAGGATGAAGTAGTGGCAAGAAAAGAAGTTGAGTGAGGGTTTGAATGCTCTGGGCCTAGATGAAATTTTGCTAGGCAGATGGATTATTCCAGACGCTCCTTTATTACCACTTGTTCTATGTGTAGGTGTTTCTGTCTTTGTGCTTAAGGAAGCAGAATCATTTCTGGAGCAATTAAATGAAATTCTGAATATAGTAATACACTCAAATCTCTGACTTATTCCTGGAAAATCTAGAACCCAAATCATTTTAGGTTTTATAGTCAGATGGTCCTGACCCACTTCTAACGGTTGAAGCCACAGGAGCAAGGTTTTTGGTCTATACACGTTCTCGTGAATACGCTACTAAAACCCTTGTTGAACAAAAGCAGTGATCTGTTGGTTCTTAGGGGAGGAAGATGAAGGATCCAAGCCCTCTCTGAAGGTGATTCTGCTCCTCTTCCCTCCCTTCCCCAACCCAGGTGATCATGGTAACGGGAGATCATCCCATTACAGCCAAGGCCATTGCCAAGGGTGTGGGCATCATCTCAGAAGGCAACGAGACAGCAGAGGATATTGCTGCTCGGCTTAAGATCCCTATCAGCGAGGTCGATGCCAGGTGAGATCCCTAAAGAACCAGATCTGCCATTTTCCCTCCCTCCTGAGACTGCCCACCTATTGCCCACCCAGGTCCCACCTACTAAAGTTCTTGGAGTCTCCTTCAGCAGGTAGGATGTGTGGGATTTATACATTTCAAAGTAAAACATAAGAGGAAAATAACCAAGTGACTATGTCAGGGGGTTTATAGAGGAAGCGAGACAGGGAAAGAGGTAGAAAAAAAGAGAAGAATAGTTGACAAAAGTGAGAGAGGAGGGCGGTGTCAATTTGGGGACAGTGCACAGCTGGGTATAAGTGAGGAGACTGGGTTAAAAGAAGAATCAAGAAGGTTATAGTAAAGACTGGCATCAGGACCCCTGGTGAATTCTCAATACTCAGAACTAGCTTTTGAAATTCTTTATCCTCAGCACTGTCAAAGCCATAGTGGTGCATGGCTCAGAACTAAAGGATTTAAACTCAGAGCAGCTTGACCAGATCCTCCAAAACCACAGTGAGATTGTGTTTGCTCGGACCTCCCCTCAGCAGAAGCTCATCATTGTAGAGGGGTGTCAGAGGCTGGTAAGGAAGGCAAAGGACCCCTCGGGAACCTGGCAGAAATCATGTGGCTTAGCCTAGCTCCAAACCAAGCAGAGGAAGTGTGTGGGCTGAGCCAGAGGAGCCTCCAGAGAGTATCCCATCTTGGACCTCCATGGTGGCCTTCAGTTTGGGGGCTCCCTGAGAGTTCAGATATCTTAGGGGAGCAGGAAAAGGGAGCCCTAGATCAAACACAATTACTTCAAGAAACGGGGGTGCTGAGATCAAACTGACCTTTGGTACTAGTCCTGAAGCTGACGCAGTAATTTTTTCACTCCCTCTGTCTGGACCTCCCCAGGGAGCCATCGTGGCTGTGACAGGGGACGGGGTGAATGACTCCCCTGCACTAAAGAAGGCTGACATCGGCATCGCCATGGGCATCTCTGGCTCTGACGTCTCTAAGCAGGCAGCCGACATGATCCTGCTGGACGACAACTTTGCCTCCATCGTCACAGGGGTGGAAGAAGGTGAGGAAGCAGGATGCCCAGGGGTGGGACTTGGCCCTCGGACTCAGGTGGGGGGTGGTGTACATTAACCTTGTCCCATTTACCCATTATCCAACTTCCATGATCCTCTGTAGACTGGGAAATAAATCACTGTAACACGAAATTTTACAAACTAGATTCCGCTAGTACATAGACTATGACTAACTGCAACCCTTTTTTATGAGATCAGAAGAAAGTCCAGATTCACCAGGGAGACTGGAACTCTGGTGTGGCATAGCATCATATTTGCCCTCTCACTGAGATTCAAGTAGGTCTACAGCAAGTTCCAAGATGTAGCCATAGCCCTGGAATTAGTCCATGCTCCACAATCTTTAGGAGGGCCCCCTAGGAACCTGTTGCCTGAATGATGATGGTGACATATAAGGTTCAATTGCAGCCTGATCTATGAATTGACTGCATGAGTCCAATTTAGCACCCTCTTTCCCAGAGAATTCTGAAGAGAGTGCCCATTGGGAAACAGGACATCCTCTGAATTCTGCATCCCAGGCTCCCTGCTTTCTGCCTGGAGTTTTCTTACTGAAACATTTGATAATCCACATAATAATAATGGTTACCGTTTTACTGAAACCTAGTATGATCCTGACACTTTGCTTGGTATTTTATACCCATTTAATTCAATAAATTCTCCTTTTGAGATGAGTCTTTATCCTTAAAAAAAAAAAAAATTCTCTTGACTATGTGCAAGGCACTAGACTAGATGTTGGGGATACAACAGTGGGAAAATAAAGGACCAAATCTCTTCCCTCATGTAACTTAATTTCTAGTGGGGAGGCCAGGCGCGGTGGCTCACGCCTGTAATCCTAGCATTCTGGGAGGCCAAGGCGGGCAGATTGCTCGAGGTCAGGAGTTCGAAACCAGCCTGAGCAAGAGCGAGACCCCGTCTCTACCATAAATAGAAAGAAATTAATTGGCCAACTAATATATATAGAAAAAACTAGCCGGGTATGGTGGCGCATCCCTGTAGTTCACCTCCCGAGTGGCTACCCAGCTACTCGGGAGGCTGAGGCAGCAGGATTGCTCGAGCCCAGGAGTTTGAGGTTGCTCTGAGCTAGGCTGATGCCATGGCACTCACTCTAGCCTGGGCAACAAAGCAAGACTGTGTCTCAAAAAAAAAAAAAAAAATTTCCAGTGGGGAAAGATAGAGCAAATGACATAGTATGTAAAAGAAGATAAGTGCTACGGAAAAAAATCAAGCAGGGAGTGCAGGGAAGGATTACAATCTTTGAAAAGGTCGTCAGCAAAGGACTCAGCAATCTTGCAAGGCAGGAGGAGTGAAGCTCAAGAAAGGTGACGGGTACCCAAGGTCACAACTAGTTATGGCAGAAGATAGGATTTGAATACAAGCCTGTCTCAAGTCCAGGCTCTTTCCACTTCAGCCTTAATCTTGTAAAGGCTTTTATATTGGCATCTCAGGATTAACCAGGCCCAACTCTGCTTAATTTTCAGAGATCAGATAACATTAGCCATGTCGAATCCAAGAACAAAGAGTACACAGACAGAGCATGCTAATAAATCATGGCTCTAACTAATAATCACACAGTTTAGAGACAAAACTGGGACCACTAAGGTCTAGGACATCCGGACCCTTTCCCTGGACTGTGACACCTCTCTGTAGTGGCCTCTTGGTCCATGACCTGGTTTGAGGGAGGTGTGTTCTCTCGATGCTTCTCACAGAAAGTTGACCATCCTCCCCAGGCCGCCTGATCTTTGACAACCTGAAGAAATCCATCGCCTACACCCTGACCAGCAACATTCCTGAGATCAGCCCCTTCCTGCTGTTCATCATCCTCGGGATACCCTTGCCTCTGGGCACCATAGCCATTCTCTGCATTGATCTGGGCACTGACATGGTAAGGACGGAGCTGAGACCCGGCTCTGAGAATTCCTGTGAGATGTATTAGGGAATAGGGAAAATCTGTGTCAAGGGAGAGGGGCAGTGCTGGAATTAGCACTGAGTTTCCTTGTGAACTTTGTGACCCCTGACATTCCCACCCTTCATCCTCCAGCTCCCTGCTATCTCCTTGGCTTACGAGTCAGCTGAAAGTGACATCATGAAGAGGCTTCCAAGGAACCCAAAGACTGATAATCTGGTGAACAACCGTCTCATTGGCATGGCCTATGGACAGATTGGTGCGGCCAGTGGAGTGATGGGTGAAGGGAGTGGGGAGTGGTTGCCCCTGCCTGGCCATTTGAGTCATCTCAGTTTGGAAGTCAGAGAGAGATTTTTTCAATAACAAACTGTGCTAAGTCCTGGAAGCACAAGGAACTGTTTGATTTCTGATCTGCCTTTGACATAGAGTCCAGTAGAAAAGCAACAAACATAAATAAATGATAGTGTCTCCAAGTGCCAAATAGTGAACATAGACAGAACATGCTACAGGAGTACAAAGCAAGCAGGCTCACCAATTATGAGGATGGTCAGCGAGGCCTTATGTAGGAAATAGGAATTAAACTTGGTGTTGGAGGATAGGGCTTAGATTAGTAAATGTATGGCCAGGTGTGGAAGACTAAAGGAGAAGGGAAATTCACATGGCATGGTTAGAAAAGAGTGAATAAGGCCGGGAGCGGTGGCTCACGCCTGTAATCCTTGCACTCTGGGAGGCCAAGTGGGCAGATTGCTCGAGGTCAGGAGTTCGAAACCAGCCTGAGCAAGAGCGAGACTCCGTCTCTACTAAAAAATAGAAAGAATTAATTGGCCAGCTAATATATATAGAAAAAATGAGCTGGGCATGGTGGCTCTTGCCTGTAGTCCCAGCTACTCAGGAGGCTGAGGCAGGAGGATCGCTTGAGCCCAGGAGTTTGAGGTTGCTGTGAGCTAGGCAGAAAAGAATGAATAAACCAGTCTGGTGGGAGCCCTTAGTCTTTATAAAGTAGCACAAAATAAGGCTGTAGACCCAGGTAGCATTTATATTGGGGCCAGTCTTGCAAGACATTTGAGAGTCAATTAGAGGTCTTCATTCTTGAGTTGCCAGGTGCGATAGAGTGTTTCAGGAAAGAGGATGAGGGATGAACAGGGAAGAGATTGAAGACAAGAGAGAGCATTCCAATATCTAGGGAAGGAAACACATAGAAAAAGCAGAGATTTAGCAGTCATACCTATGAATCCTTATTTCACCTTTACCAGCTGTATGACCCTGGGCAATGAGTGAATCTTTTTTTGTGTTCAGCTTTTCCACTTATGAAATACAGATAACAGTTCAGAATTGTTGGGAGTATCTATGTCCACAAGGTATCTACATAGTGCACAGCTCTGCAGTTAGTAGGCAAACATTACCATCAGCTATTGCTGTGGTCCAGGCACAGTGGATAGAGGTCTTGACTAAGAGAGAGGCAAAGTGTAGAAGGATAAGAGAAATGTGAGAGGACAGGATCTGATGAGTGTCAGAATGTCAGAGGAAATGCAAAAGGAGGAGCCCAGCACTCGCTCAATAGGGAGGGGGAATAAATAGCCTCTAAAGTCCTTATTTAAGAGTATGTGATTCAAAAATGACTCTGGGTTGGAGTTTAGAAACAAATGTCAAGGCTTGGAGACAAGTCCCACAGAGAGGATAGGATCACACGGTTGATGGCAAGACTCTTCTGCAATACTCCTCAAACACACACCAAGCCCCCAGACCCCACTCCTTCCATGGTCTTCCTTTTAGGCCCTTCCCTGAACCAGGTCCCCCCATCCTGTGACTCTCTTACTCACAGGAATGATCCAGGCTCTGGCTGGATTCTTCACTTACTTTGTGATCCTGGCCGAGAATGGTTTTAAGCCTAATGATCTGCTGGGCATCCGCCTTCACTGGGAAGATCGATACTTGAATGACCTGCAGGACAGCTATGGGCAGCAGTGGGTGAGTAAGAGGGGCTAGGGGAGTAGATAGTGAGTGACCAATAAGAGTGAGGAAATAACATGGAAAAGTGGGTCTAGCAAATCTTTGAAGAGTGGAAAAGGGAGGCACCGGATAGAGCTGATGCCTCATCCTCAGTCCTACATGAGCATTCTAACATTTGACTTCAGTCTCCAATCACACCAGCGAATAGTCAAATCATTGCCTCTTTGTTTACAGTAACCTCACTTCTGTTGCTTTCTACTGTCTGTTGTCCATTCTTGCCTTCCTGGCTCCTTTGGCTCCCTTGGACCTGGAGGTTGTCTTTGTCATGTCAACTTTTCTGGGCTGATTTCTGTTTTTCCATGTTTTAACCATGATTGCCCTAGAAACAAATGCTGGCTCTTATCCCGTTACACTCCCTTGCTCCAAGAGAGTTCAAATAATATCATTGAAAATCTGAAAACCTATTTTCTTCGTATATCCCTTCCTCATCATTTCAAACATTTTAAACTTAGAAGATGCTTCTACGCAGTAGTCTTTCTTAATGTCTAAGATGGATGGATGAGGCTCAAACTAAAGCTCTCTCCCCAATTGTTTATCTTCAATAATTTTAGTACATATGCTTTTTTGGTATCTGTGAATACTCCTTTCCCAATTTCTAAGAGTGAAAGATGTGACACCAACTACTACTAGAATTACAGAATCCTAGAAGACATGTAGCCCGTCATCATCATTCTATAAATGAGGAAACTGAGTGCTCAGAGTCCCACAGTGAATCTCTAGAAGAGCTGGACTAGAATTCTGACTCTTGATTCCTGCCCAGCACTTTCCCACTTCACCATGATGTCTGCAAACCAAGCTGACTGTAGGTTTCTCAAAAGTATATTCAAATCTGAGTTGTTGGAAAGATGTCCCTTCATATACACTTGGCTTCTGCTAGCTGATCCTCATGAGGCCATCAGATGTCAGTGTTCCCAGCTACCAACACTGCTCCAGGATCCAGTGACACCCAACGTTCTCATTGCCGTGTACCCTGCCACCATCTCCTCAACTCTCAACCTGAGCCCTTGTTAGTTTTACAGCCTGGTACCTCCTCCCTGCTGCCAAGATGCAGCATGACATATATTTATTTATAATAAATTAAAGGTAATTAAAAATAATTTGAGGTAACAAGATAAGAATTCCCCTTGTACACCAAAGATAGCTTGAGGTATTACAAAAACATGTTGAGAACAGTTGCCCTGAGGGATAAATTCCAAAAGGCAGGATCCATGTCTCTTCCACTACCGTAACTTTCAGATAATCTAGTATAGAAACATCCACTCAGGAAGTACACTACATACTGCTAGAAGCAAGGATAGCTCCTTACCTTCTACACATCATCCACCATTGATTCCCCATTCATTCATTCATTCATTCATTCATTCAGCAAATATTTACTGAGCATCTTACATGTACCAGGTACTGTTCTAGGACCTGGGAGTATGGTAGTGAACAAAAATGACCAAGTTACTGCTCTCATGGAGCTTATTTCTAGTTAGGGGTAGAGAGTGGAAAGGGAGACAGATAACCAAATATATATTACATCAAAGGATCATAAGTCCAAGGGAGTTATGGAATTCCAACGCAAGAAGTGTTGGAATAGAGATACTAGAGTAAGATGGAAAGATAAAGATGGTGGGTGAGGGGGTAAGAGAGAGAGAGAGAGGCTTGAAACTGAAATTACAGAGCAAATGTAAGTATTGGAAAGGATAATATCTGGAGTTTACCCATGGGAGCAAGTGGCCCAGGGCGGAGTGGAGAACAAACAATATCAATGGTATTGGAAGGATCATTGACATGGGTATTTAAATCTACAAAAAGGAGGACAGCAGTAATAGTAGAGGAACAGTGATTCAGAAGCTAAAATCTTCAAGAAAAGCTAAGAAGTGACGCTTTGATGGCAGCTGCCTGCAATGAAGGACAGTGGTGGTGTGCCCTCATGTACACAAATAAGCCGATTGGTCTCATTCTCAGAGTTCCATGCTTGGCTCACCAATTCTCAGCCTCTGTTTTCTAATCATTTAAGGCTCTATATTTCTCTCCAAGTACAACTTTGATCACATTCTATAAAGTCTGACATGTAGTATTTTATTATTGTGTAGTCCTACATATTTTCAAATTTCTTTGATCCGCAAGTTATGTATAAACATGCTGTTTTTAATCTCTTAAAACATAAGCCCTGGCCGGGCGTGGTGGCTCACGCCTGTAATCCTAGCACTTTGGGAGGCCGAGGCGGGCAGATTGCTCAAGGTCAGGAGTTCGAAACCAGCCTGAGCGAGACCCCGTCTCTACCAAAAATAGAAATAAAATTAATTGACCAACTAAAAATATATATACAAAAAATTAGCCGGGCATGGTGGTGCATGCCTGTAGTCCCAGCTACTTGGGAGGCTGAGGCAGGAGGATCGCTGAGCCCCAGAGATTGAGGTTGCTGTGAGCCAGGCTGACGCCATGGCACTCACTCTAGCCTGGGCAACAAAGTGAGACTCTGTCTCAAAAAAAACCAAAAAAAAACATAAGCCCTTTTCTCCAGTCTAATTTAGATGCACCTCTTCTGTGTTCCCATAGCCTTCTGTGATCTCTTTCATAACCTATTGTACTGACATAGCATATTTATCTTCCCACTGGACTCTAAGTTCCTTAGGTGTAAAATGTGAATGAATGAATAAATTTCTCCTATCCAGTACCACTCTTTGGGGCATTTCTTTCTGTATTCATATTTGCCCTCTGGCCCCACCTTCTTGACTGACCTATGTCCTCTGACTCTGCCTTCCTCTCTAAGCCCACCTTCTCCTATACCATCTTTCTTATTAATTTGGTAAATATTTAAGGAGCCATGCTACAGGCCATTCACTGAACTTAGGATGGGGAGGAAACACAAAGATAAATAAGACAAGGTCCTTGTCCTTGAGGAGCTCTAAGTCAGGTAAGAAACACACATAAACAAATCATAGGACAACACAGAAAGTGCCAAGACAGAAATACGTGTGAAGTGCTATGGGAGTCTAGAGAGATGGCCTGACTCAGCCTGGGGGTCCTGAGAGGTGAGAGAGGGAAGAAGCTTTAGGGTGTATCTAAACCCCTTCTGACACTTACGTCTCCTGTCTGCCTGCCCTCCCCCAGACCTACGAGCAGCGCAAGGTGGTGGAGTTCACGTGCCACACGGCCTTCTTTGTCAGCATCGTGATCGTGCAGTGGGCTGACCTCATCATCTGCAAGACCCGCCGCAACTCGGTCTTCCAGCAGGGCATGAAGTGAGTATCCCACCAAATGGCCCTAAGGCTCCCCCAAACCTATATATGGGGACGTGCCATTTTCCCTTGCCTTTTCCTCTCTAACTCCGCCATGCCCACAAATGTTTCTTCCCAGAAACAAGATCCTAATACTTGGGCTCCTGGAGGAGACAATGCTGGCTGCTTTTCTGTCCTACGCTCCAGGCATGGACCTGGCCCTGAGAATGTACCCACTCAAGTGAGTGAGGGAAGGGATGCAAGCGGGGGTTCTCCAGGCACAGGGAGAGCCTGCGAGAGGAACTATGTGTTTGAACAGGATAGTCACAAGCTTGGGGCTACCTGGATAAATGGGGCTACACTGGATGATATAAGGAGAGTCATCTGTGCTCCAATAAGTGGATCTTATTTAGGGAGGCATTAGACACTGTGCCAAGTGATCACAACCCACTAGACCTGCAAATTTAGCAGATTCACCAGTGTTTAACAGAGTGGAATCTTTTCGTGATGTGTGGTATAGCTGTCCAAGGATACATATTGCTTAGAGCTGAAGAAACCATAAAAATAGCTTAATCTATGCTTAGCTAATTCTGTTGTACTTATGCAAATATGTTTTAATGTGTATGTATGTGAGCGGGCCTACTGAAATTCTTATTGTCTGGTACCTTGTCTTGTTCAGCTGTAGGTTTTTGTTTTGTTTTGCTTTGCTTTAACATTAGTATATGCTTCTTGTGAAAAAAAATTCTATTTAAAAAATTACAGAGAAAAGAGCATCCATGTCCACTACCCCTCTCTGCACAGGTAGCCTCTGTTAATGATTAGCATGTATTTTTCCAACTCGTTTTTTATGCATTTCCATACTCTGTTTACCTTTCTGTCCCTTGCAGTCTTTCACACAATGCTTTATACCACGTAGGTGCTCATTAATGTTTAATAGGAGACATTGGCACAGGCCTTAGATACTGACAATCCCAGGTCTGAATCTCAACTCTACTATGTAATATTCTGTGATCTGGGACAACTATGTAACCATTCTGAGCCTCAGCTTCACCTACGAAGTCTCACTGAAACACTTTGGGCATAGGTCTGGCAGAGTGTTGAGGATCACATATAGAAATGGGTATAAAGCATCAAGCATACTTGGGTCATGGTGGACGCTTTGCTAATAGTAGCTTTATTCTTGTTGCCATAAATGTCGTTACAAAGTAATAACAAATGCAGCTGAGCATTGTCTGAGCTCTGGAACACTGTGTATACCCTGACCATAAAACTTAGTACCCAGTGTGGTGATTCTTTGCATGTGCATTCACTTTCTTTTCTCTGATTCTTCTGAGCTCCTTGAGATCAAGACCATCATGTAAATGAATCATTTTTATTTCCCCAATACCTAACACAGACCCAGAGCAAACATTTGAAGATTGTTGTTGAATGAATATTTGTATTTAAATGTTGGTATTTGGTGTGTGGGGTTGTGTGTGGAGAATGAACCATGGCCTAGGTGAATGCTGTCCAAAATGGTAGCCACTATCTGTATGTGACTGCTGAGCTTTTGGGATATGGCTAGAGAGACTGAGGAACTGAATTTGTAACTTTATTTAATTTTAATTAATTTAAAGTTAACTAAAGCAGTGTGAAATATCTGTATATTATTACAACCTTCTGATTTTGGTTGGACTACATTTCTCTTTAACCATTGAAAATTTAGTGTCTGAGCTGAGATGTGTTGTCAGTGAAAAATACTCAATATTCCAAGACTTAGGATGAAAAGAAGAATGCAAATATCTCATTAATAATGTTTATGTTACCGGGTGCAATGGCTCACCCAGCAGTTTGGAAAACCGAGACAGGAGGATGGCTTGAGCCTAGGAGTTTGAGACCAGCCTGGTGGGCAACACAGTGAAACCCCGTCTCTACAAAAACTAAAAAAAAAAAAAAAAAAAAAAGTTAGCTGGGCATGGTATTGTGCATCTGTAGTCCTAGCTACTCAGAAAGCTTAGACAGGAGGGTTGCTTGAGCCCAGGAGTTAGAGGTTGCAATGAGCTAGGATTATGCCACTACCCTCTAGTCTGGGAGACAGAGACCCTGTCTCTAAAAAAAACAAACAAAGAAAAAAAAAGTGTATATTGATTACACGTAGAAATTATAACATTTTGGATATATTGAGTTAAATAAAATTATTAAAATTCAGTCAAGTGTGGTGGCTCATTCCTGTAATCCTAGCACTCTGGGAGGCCAAGGTGGGTAGATCGTTTGAGCTCAGGAGTTTGAGACCAGCCTGAGCAAGAGTGAGACCCCCATCTCTACTAAAAATAGAAAGAAATTAATTGGCCAACTAAAAATATATAGAAAAAATTAGCCAGGCATGGTGGTGCATGCCTGTAGTAGTCCCAGCTACTCTGGAGGCTGAGGCAGGAGGATCATTTGAGCTTAGGAGTTTGAGGTTGCTGTGACCTAAGCTGATGCCACCACTCCCTAGCCTGGTGATAGAGTGAGATTGTGTCTTGAAAAAAAAATATTAAAATTAATTTCATCGGTTTCTTTTTACTTGTTTTAATGTGGCTACTAGAAAATTTTAAATTTCACATGTGGCTCACATTATATTTCTATTGGACAGCGCTGGTCTAAGCCATGTCTTCTGTCATTCATGGGAACAACTGTGGTCCTGATTCAACACCTCTCCCAAGTCCATCTTCCTGGTCTCTAATCATAATAGAGGTTCAGGAAGAAAAAAAGTCCCCATCTTTGTAATATGGAAGAGTAAGAGAACAGTATTACATGGCTGGATACTTTCTGGACATCCCTGATATATATATATTTCCTGGCAGAGTATCCCCACACTAGACGTCCAGAGAATGTCTAAAATAAGCATCCTGTTCAGACGATCTCCCCTTTGTGGGTGCAAGTCCTTGAGAATGCAGAGAGCAAAGGGAGTCTCCCTAAACAACTCTGCAAAAGCTGGTAGACAATCTCCATGAACATTGCATGTACCTCTAATATGACATTTATCATATTATATCATTGGCTTTTTGCCTTTCCTCTCCATCCCAATCCCTCACCCCCTACTGATGCCTCAAGTAGAAACCAACCAGATCTTACTCACCTGTCTCTAGCACTCAGCATAATCCCGGGAATAGAGTGGACACAATAAGTAAAACACATGATTCCTGTGCACTGTTCTCTGTACCTGTCTTTCTCTAGCCCCCGTATTTCCTGCCATGTTGACTGGCCCTTGCTCTCTGCAGGATAACGTGGTGGCTCTGTGCCACTCCCTACAGCTTTCTTATCTTTGTCTATGATGAAATCAGAAAACTCGTCATTCGTCTACGGCCGGGTGGTGAGGATCCCCTGGGCCCTGCCCTGACTGAGTGGTCACGAGCCCCTAACTAGCTCTCCCACCCTGCCTGGTTCCTCCAGACCCCCTGGCTTTCTCCCCAACCCACTGCCAGGCCTTTACTGTGCCTGGACCCCAGCCCTCTACTCTTTGGTTGCACTGCTCTGTTCCAACCAGTCCTCAGGGCCTTGTGTTCAGACCTCAGACCTCCACCTTATCCCTGCTTTCACTCCACGTCTCTCCCTGTGATGTCTCCCCGTGCCTGCTCCCAGTTCATGCTGGTCTCTTCTCTTCCACAGGCTGGCTGGAGAGAGAGACATACTACTAAACTCAGCAGAGGAAGAGCTTCACCTGACATAAAAGTGCCATGAGTAGGGTTAGGGATTATGAGTTTGATACAACATCTGAGAGAGACACTGGAATGAATTACCTTGGATAAGAGAGACAGGCACTCTTGGGACTGGACAGAGGGGATCACCAGCAGAAGATGGGATGGGTGAGGGAAGCCCAGCCGGCGTCTGGCTGCAGCTGAGTGGGGAGGGGCACAGTCCAGTTGAATCCAACAGCCAGTCTGGAGAGTAAAGGTTTGGAACAGCCCTCACCTGGCTAGATGTGTCACATCTGACTTTAGGGGAGCAGGGATTACTATGAAGCTCCCTCGCTAGATCTTAATGATAACCAAGTGGGAGAAGTCTTTCAGGGACTGTCCAGGCTGAGAAGGGATGAGAATCAAGCATCCTTGCCCCTTGAGGACCACCACCCAGCTTAAAGTCACTCTATGATCCCTTGGACAGAAAAGACAGGACAAATGACTGCCCCAAAAGTCCATCTGGGATCAGAGAAAAATGGAAGGGGAGTGATAGAGGAGCAGCTAAGCCACGCCCTGTGGAGGAGGATAGGGCATCCACATGGGGGGCTGGTGGGGTAGGCTCTTCTAGCTCCCACCTTGGAGGTCCTTCAGACCAGCTTACAGACCATACAGATGTAGTGCTAGAAGAAACTTGATTTTATCAAAGAAGAAGCTGAGGCCCAAGGAGGTTAAGTGACTTGGGAACGGCCACTTGGTGAGTGGTTCTCCTCATCTGAGGGAGGTCTAGGCAGGAGGGAAGGACTTCATGGAACTCATGGTCCTTGCCCTCTGTTGCCACGATACCAACCCCATCCCATCCTTCAGCCTGTTTTCTCTGGTGCAGCCTTGAAACAGAGGCAATAACTTTGAATCCCTTAGGCTTTACCTTAGGCAAAGCATCCTGCCGCTACTCTACACCATCCATCACAGGGTGAAGGACATTCCCAAAAGCTTAGCCTGCTGCATCCCTCTTGAGTTGAGTGAGAGGTACCAGGAAGCCATTGTCTCCCACCCACCTTCATCTTGATGGTTCTTCCTTCCCTTTCACCCACTCGCCTTTGCTTTGTGAGCCCCTCCACTTTGCCCTGTTGGCCAGTTCATTCCCAGCCTCTTTCAGAATACAGGGTTGGCTATGGCCAAATGTACGAGGGTTATCAGGAAAGTATCCAGCCAGTGATAATATAATGAGACCAGTATTACGTAGCTGGGTACTTTCTGGACAGGAGGGAGAGAGAGGGAGAGGGAGAGGGAGGGAGGGGGAGAGAGAGAGAGAGAGAGAGAGAGAGACAGAGACAGAGACAGAGACAGAGACAGAGACACGGAGAGGGAGGGAGAGAGAGAGAAAGAGATAGATAGATATGCATGCTAAGGAAAGCTGGGGGAAAAGCATATTATGCCTAACACTGGGACAGGGCTTTACACACACCATCAATTAATTCACACAAATATTTTCCTAACACTCCACCTCATTTTATAGATAAGGAAACCAAGTTTTTCTGATTCCAGAACTTGTACCCTTAACCACTTTTTAGACTAGTCTCTTAATGAGGGCTGGGCCAACAATACATAAATATAAAACAAAATAAAACAAAACAAAAAATAGGATAGTCATGGGGCAGGGGCTATGGATGGGTCTGGAGGAGGAGAAGCCATGGCTAGCAAGGAGAAGGCCACCATAAGGTATAGCCAACTACTCTTCCCCTAACTCAGGCCCCTCCTCAGAGATCTCTCTCCCTCCTGTTCCCCTCCCTCTTCCAACACAAGGTCTCCTAGGGACAGGGCTATATCAAACTGGGGTCCTTCCCCAGCTGCTGACACAGCTGAACCAGACCCTGGAAGATTGAGGGGCCAGGGTGTATGCGAGTGAGGTGGGAAGGGGGGCACAGAGGGGCCAGCTCCTCGGGTTTCAGTAGCAGGAGCTTCGGGTGTCTGGTGGGTTAAAAATACAGAGGCCCCAACTCAGGGTCATTTGATACCACTGGCTGATGCTTGTTAAGTCCAAGGGCCTGAAGGGAAGAGGACTGAGTTGAAAGTAGAGAGCAAAGCATCAGAGAGAGAAGGATAGGCAGTGGGTGCTGGAAACAGTAAGGGTGGAACTGGAGCCCCAGAGGCAACGAGAGGGAGCAGGATGGACAATGAGGTCTGGTGGCTACAGGAGAGGCCCAGGAGATGGAGAGTCCCAGTCCACCATGGAGTCCCATCTCACACCCTTGGGGGTACAAAAGGTCAGATTCATGATGGAATAGCTCTGATGTTCCAATGTGTCTGTGCAAAGGTCCCCCCCCCCCAACCCAGAATGCAACAGAAGTGCAAAATCGGGGCCAGACGTCATCTAGGTCATCTACTTCTGGGAGGGCTGCCCATCTTTCCCAGCTGTCTTTGCTCTGGCAGTAGGGCTCTCAGCATTATTAGTCACTCTTCTGGGAGATCAGGAGATGGGATTCTGAGGTCTCTTCAACTCTTAACATGCCATGCTTAGGCTAGCTCTGGCCTCTCCTGCTGCAGTGACAGCTGTCTCTCTTGGACCCACTCCTGCAGTGTTCTTGAGATTTTCTGTGGCCTCCTTGCTTAGCTGTTTAAGGTCCCTCCCCTGAGAGTGTGGAAAGTTATTCTGCTAACATAATTCAATGTTCCTGCCTGGATGCAAAATAAACACTGTTCCTCCAGAATCAGAGATACCTCAGGGTAGGGTGGGAGCATCCAATTTTGAACATGGAGAGCACGGTCTCCCTCATACCTAGTTTACCTGTACATGGTGAGAGTCCTGCATGGCCATGAAGGACCTAACCCAGAGCCAAACTCACCCACTCTGTCCTTACCTCCAAGCTGGGATCCAGAAGTTAAAGGCCTTACCCCCCAACTACTGCTTTGGATCTCACGTGTACAGAATTAATCAGCATCCTGGGTTCAGGGTGCAGGGCTGACCTCTTCATGTTTTCTGAGTGTTAACTTTTCCCCCCAGTTTTTATACCTGATTCTGTTTGTCTTGTCAAAGACATAAGAATAAATAGTAGTTATTCACTCTCCTTGGAATCATGCAGCCTGGGAGAATCCTTCCTTCCCACTGTGTCCTAGAAAACTGAGTCCTATAGGATCAGAGTAGAGAGTGCATATGTAAGGTGACAGCCAAATGACATTCCCCTTCTCATCATGAGCCTTATGGGCAGAGAAACCCCAAATCTGTATCTCTGCAGGATGGTTTCTGGGCCAGCCCTGTGCTTCCCCTGCATTCCCAAGTTAGGAGTGTTGAGTGAAGCCAAGGAAACTGGCTGGAGCTGAGCCAGGTCGCCAGTCTTGGACACAGCTCCATCTTTTATTCAGAGAATGACCTCATCCTTGGTCCTGGTTCTTTAAAGGGAAGTACAGAGGGTCTCCTTCCTGCAGGCTGGATTGCACGTTTATTGCCTCCCTCTCTTTCATAGGATCAAAGAAACACTTAACCTACTGAAGATTCGGAGGTTTTAGGATGTCAAGTCAATACCACATTTGACTCCCCTTTGTCCTATATTATCAATTTAGCCCCTGACCCGGATACCTCCTCCTCTCCAACCACATTTATCTACTCTCTAATTACCCTTGCCCTACCCTCAGCTCTCCCTAATTACCCCTACACCTCCCCTCCCCCAGCCCCAGCTTCATTTACCTCCGACTCATCTGGTCTTATTTTTAGCTCCGGCGGCGTCTCTCCCTTTTCCTTTCTTAATATGGTGATGAGCTCTTAGTCCAGCATAGGGACAGGGGCTGAGGAGCTCTGGACACTGGGGGAGGGGAGGGAAGGAGTTGTTGGAGCCTGGGGGAAAGATGCAGGAGGTGGGAGGATTCTAGCCCTCATGGAGCTGTCCTGGCCTCAGAAGGTTATCCATCTCTCCTGCCAACCACAGGGACATATTTAGACAGGACCAGGTGGGGACCAAGGGGTGCCAATTTCAGGGGGCAGCTCCGGTTCCCTCCCCGCCCCCTGCTCTTATTCCTCCTCCTGACCCTTTTTCTCTTGGCTCTGTGGGCAGTTTCTCCAGGACCCAGTAGTGTCCTCTGTCCACTGCTCTGGGCCATTCCCTACGCCACCCCCACCTTGAGCACCTCAGGATTTGGGACACAGTGGCCCCTCCCTACCCCAGCTAACCTCTTCTGGACCAGGAGAGCCAACGCAGATCCCACTACCTCCATGAGCACTACAGACAGGATGGGGGCCAGAGCTGTGCTGGGTCTGCGGCTGGCACTGCTCTTACTGCTGGTTCTAGGGACACCCAAGTCATGGGTACAGGGGGAGGAAGGACTGGACTTCCCCAAGTATGATGGTGTGGACCGTGTCATCAATGTCAACGCAAAGAACTACAAGAATGTGTTCAAGAAGTATGAGGTGCTGGCACTCCTCTACCATGAACCCCCCGAGGATGACAAGGCCTCACAAAGACAATTTGAGATGGAGGAGCTAATCCTGGAGGTGAGTGGGGGGACTGCAGGCCTGCAGAACACACCCAGCCCCTCTCTGCGATCCTGTCTTACATGCAGGTAGATCTTTGAGGATGGGATCTGGGGGCGAGGGGCAGTGCAGCAGAAGCCCTGTCTTAACCAACAGGACAGAAGTATCATGTGGCTTCAGCCAAATGAGAAAGAGACTCAGGAACCCAAAAATACGATCATAGGTAACTTTAGAGGGGGTGCCACAGTGGGATCTCCCCTCCCTGCTACAGGAGGCTGGTAGTACTAGGACTGGGTTTGGCTAGGACAGGGGGCAATAAAGGAAAAGGAGTACCTGCAGCAAGGGGAGAACTGCCATGTAGTGTATTGTACTCCCCCAACCCCCACCAATATACTTTCCTAGTCAGAACAGTCCCTCTCCACACACTGTAGGGGCATGCCCTAAAGAGACACAAATGTTATTGATATCTTATTTGCATGTCATTTACTTAATGGCTAGATGTTTAAATATTTCCTAGAGACCATGCATCCCATTAGCCTCCTAGCCCCCATTCTCTTCCTCCTGCTCCCTAATTCCCCATCCATCCCTACTGGATCAAGCTGTATGCCCTCATTGGAAGATTCTTATGGTTGAAGGAGGTTACAGAATGCCTTCCCCATCTTCTCTTTGTGGGAAGAGTCCCCTCACCCCAAATATGATTTTAGGTGCAATGGAGAAATGGGTTATTATAAAAAGAAAACCAGAAAAAGCCTCTTTGGGGGGATGACTGAGAGATGTGACCACACAGACCCCTCTAGGAGCTGGGATGTGCTTAAGTTTCCTTGTCCAATCTTCTGTGTCTCCTTCTCTGGTCTGGTGTGCAGATAGCCCCTGGCTTGTCCAGAGCTTGGAGCATTTCAGGGTGAGACACCAGGATCATGGGCTGTCATTTCTGTGTGCCTCTGCTGGGTGCTGGAACCTGCCATCTGATTAATGAGCCGAGTATTTTTATCCTGAGTGCTCAGTATCCCCGGCCATCCACCTGCCAACTGCCTCCCTTCCCATCCCCCTGAGAATCATGGTGCCCGAGTCCGTGCTAAGTGGGGTGAAGCTGCAAGCTGTGGCCGCAGCAGAGTGATTCAGAGTTGGGTACTGAGCTGAGAGGCTTGGGAGGACAGGGACCTCCAGCCATGACTATCCACAGCCTAGGGACAGGCTGAAGTGGAGTCTGAAAGAGGAAAGTTAGGCCTGGATGAGGAGAGCTGTGTAGTCTCTATCAGTCTCGCCCCCTCTGTAGGTGACGAGAGGTGACCTCTACTCTTGGCTCTCGGCCTTCTCATTCCTCAGCAACACGACCAGACCCATACCCACCCTCCATCCTCCAAAATTCTTCCTGTTAGGAGTTATTCTGAGCAATCCCAGGGACTTCCAACATCACCCCACACCAAACCTGGCTTTTGATCAGGAAGGAGTGCAGGGCCCAACCCTTAAAGAGGGAAGGGGGCCACAGTCACTCTGAAACCAGACTCTTCAGCATCCCTCAGGGACTGGGAAGTATCAAGTGCAGTGCTTTAAAGCTCAACATAACACACTGCAAATAAGCAATAAATACTCATGAACTAAAAGGTGAACCAAAGACAGAGTGAGATGAGGTTATACAGAATTTGGGGGCATTATGGATCTTAGCATAAGGGCATGGTCAACTCATTATTTCCTGCACCCCAACTAACCCAACTTGAAAGCATGAGATCAGGGATGAATGGGAGTTAATAAGAATTCCAGGGACTGATTTTAACCCTAATCCTTCCCTCTAGTTAGCAGCCCAAGTCTTAGAAGACAAGGGTGTTGGCTTCGGGCTGGTGGACTCTGAAAAGGATGCAGCTGTGGCCAAGAAACTAGGTAAGGGAGGAGAAAGGGAGGGGAGGGTGTCAGGTGACACTGGGGAAGGTCTGAGGTGGAGAACTTGTTGGGAAGGCCTTGGGATCTGAGGAGCTTGAGAACTCTTCCACCATATTTATTCTGAAAGTGGGGGAGAAAACTTGAGATTGGGAGGTAATGGCTGAAGGCTCCTGCCTCCCTATTCCTTATAGAGACCCATGATTAAATCCAAGAAAGAGGCAAGGGAGGCCTTCTTTATACTTACCTTAAGAACATGGCGAGGTACTGGAGGGAGGGGGAATCAGGGACTACATGCAGGGCTTTTATGTCCTCTGCAAACTCCTCTTCCAAACCCCTTCCCTTCCAGAGCTGTGGCTAGGTGTTACAGCACCCGGCCACCAGGGGGAAGCACAGCTTCGAGACTGGACTCCAGATATGGATGGGGGAAGGGTGGTTAGTAATAATGAAGTCATCCGGTCAGTAATAGCAGAGTTAAAGGGCTGGCCTGGGAACTAGCTGCTAGAGTCTTCAAAGGGGTAGCATGAATATGCGTCTCTAGTTATAGCAAGCAGAGAAAGGGAGAAATATTGCTAGAACCTGTATCTTCTTATTCCCTCCCCTCACACCCTACGTGACCCCCCACCCCCAGCTTCTCCCTTGAGAGTCCCTGGGGCCAGGCTAGCCTCCTGGGCTAAATCCAGGGGCATGGACATTGGGGATGTAGGCACTAAGGGGCAGTGGAGGTGGGCGGGGCAGGGGAAGTGTGAGTGGAGGATGTGGGGTCCGGTCCGGGGGGTTATGGAATGGGCTGTGACCCAGGATTTTGGACCCTTGATCTGTGGGAAGGTTGGAATCATCATGGCTCGCCCCTCGGCTCACTCCCCAGGACTAACTGAAGAGGACAGCGTTTATGTATTCAAGGGAGATGAAGTCATAGAGTATGACGGAGAGTTTTCTGCTGACACCCTGGTGGAGTTTCTGCTTGATGTGAGGATTCCCCTGGACCAGATGGCCTTGCTTTAAGACTCCACTGCCCCTTAGTGCCTACCAACCCCAACCTTACACTGCACACACCACACACACACCCCACACACATTCCACACACCTCACACACCACATGCACTCCACACACACACCCCCCACAGGCACACACCACATGCACACACACCACATATATGCACACCACACACACCATGTGCACAATACACACACACACACCACACACACACACATCACACACACATCTAAACCCCTCTTCCAGTTCCCCAGCCTTCTTTTCTCTAGATCCCTCTTACTGGTTTTACCAGTGAGGATAGAAACTCATCTCTTCCTTCCATGTCCCTGATCCTTCAGGTCCTAGAGGACCCTGTGGAATTGATTGAGGGTGAACGAGAGCTGGAGGCATTTGAGAATATTGAGGATGAGAACAAACTTATTGGCTACTTCAAGAGCAAAGACTCAGAGCGTGGGTAACCCTCAGACTCCACTGTAGCCCTCCCTGGACATCCCAACTCACCGGTCCTCCTATCTCCCCACACACCCAGTGTCTCAGCACCTCTTCTTCCTCCTGCTGCCATCAGCTCCATCCACTGCTCTCATCTCCCTCAGCTCTGGAGGGTTTCCCAGACAAGCCCCTCTCACCTCCAGTGTCCACCTTCCCCCAACTACAGTCCTACTGTATTCCACCCACTCTCAGAGGACTAGAGGGTGGGTCTCAGAATGAACCCCACTGCCAAAGAACTGGGGAGAGGTATAGGGAGATGATCCCTGGCAGACCCAGGTTTTCTCAGAGACTGACTCTATATTCCCCTTTCAGATTACAAAGCCTTTGAAGATGCAGCCGAGGAGTTTCATCCCTACATCCCCTTCTTCGCCACATTCGACAGCAAGGTTCTCATCCCCATGGCTGTACTGGGTCTCTCTCATGCCCCTGAGCTGCCCTCCAGTCTCCTCTCCCAGGACTGATAAGGGAACTGCATGCCAACACTCTCCAACCCCATCCTGGGCTCCTCCTGCCCTACAGATTTTAGAGCTGAAGAGGGGCTTTAGTTTATCTAACCCACGCCTCTCGTGTTAAAACGAAGCCCAGAGAAGTTACAACACTTGTCCAGTGTCACAGCAGCAATGACAAGGATCCAAGTTTTTTTACTCCCTTTCTAATATTTGTTCCCCCATAATACTGCTTCTTACTGTGACCCTGTGTGTCTCCTGCTTCACTCCACTCCCACGTCCTCTCTCGAAGGTGGCAAAGAAGCTAACTCTGAAGCTGAATGAGATCGATTTCTATGAAGCCTTCATGGATGAGCCTGTGACTATCCCAGACAAGCCCAACAGTGAAGAGGAGATTGTCAACTTCGTGGAGGAGCACAGGAGGTGGGGATCAAGGGCACCCTTGAGCAGGGCAGGCTCCCCCTGGGGCCAGACTACCACACGTGAGCGGTTTGGGGGAATCTTAGCCAGCCAGGAAGCCGGTCTTGCCTAGAGACGAATGCACGTCTGGGCCCTACTGCTCACTGATACACTGATAATTTTGCACCCCCATAATTAGCCCTAAGCCATACACAGAAAAGGTCCTCCATAAATGTGTATAGTTTATTGTGATGTTGATTGTTACTTAAATAATGTCTATCAACAAGAGTGATATGCCAGGAACTGCAAAGTGCTTTCTGTCTCTATTATTATATTTAATCCTTTCAACAACCTCAGTGAAAGAGGCCCCACAGGTAATAAGTGTCAGAACTGGGACTCAACTCTAATATGTCCCATGTTCTAATACATCACCCTACACCAGTGGTTCATTACAGGGGTGGAGGGAATAGCAAGGTGAGGTTAAGATTTTGCCCTCCACTGGATATTTAGCAATGTCTGGAGACATTTTTGTTTGTGGGGAGTGCTACCGGTATTTGGTGGCTAGAGACTGGGGATATAGTGCACAGGACAGCCCCCCACAACACAGAATTATCTGGCCCCAAATGTTAATAGTGCTGAGGTTGAAAAGCCTGCTTTGCACTCACACATGATTCCTCATAGTACTCCACAACTGGAAATACCCATTCATCAGTATAAATACCACTTACTCTCTCCCACTCGAATATGGCCCCCTTCATCAGGGCAGGAACACGTCTGCCTGGTTCAGCACCTAGCAGAGTGCTCAGAACATATCAGGCGCTCAGTCATATTGGATGAGTGAATGAATGAATAAATGAATGAACAAACATTCAGATATTCAGTTCTTACCTTTCTCCCAAAAGCCTCTCTTCCTGTCCCCTTGCCCACTCGCCCCTCTCCCACTGCTTTAACCATGCAGTGATCTGGGCCTGGTGCCCAGAGCTTAGGCTTTGCCAGATGGCTTTGTTCTGGGCCACAAGCTGTCTGTGCCCTGGGCCTGACCCAGAGGCAGCCTCTGCTATGGGGACCCTCTGCGGGGGAGTGTCCTTCTCACCCACTGAGTATTGACCCTCTATCTGTCTCTCCTAGATCAACCCTGCGGAAACTGAAGCCTGAGAGTATGTATGAGACCTGGGTGAGTGCCCCTGACCAGGGCCAGGGCCAGGGCCAGGCCCTTGGGGAGCATGGGTGGCTGAAGACTCGAGGCCTAGAAACATCCCACCCTGCTGCTCCTCAGGCCCACTTGTAGCAAAAACAGTGCATCAGCAAAAGGTGAAGGTTTTCTGTTCTGAAGAACGTGTCAGGAATTGGGAGACAGACATAAGTGGATAAAGATGACAAGGGAGGAGCCCCAAGCTCTGGGGATAAAGGGATTACCAGAGGAGGTGTGGGGGCCTCTGAGCTGAAAGGGACAGTGTCACTTGGAAAAGGGTCACCATCACAAGAATGTGTCTGGCCCAGAAGCTGGATTTCTACAAAATTCAGGTTTAATGAATATTTAGGATCTGTCTTGGGCTCTCCAACTTCAGGGAGCATAGTAAAGTCTCCTCCTCTACCCTACTCTCCTTCTCACCCCCTAACAGGAGGACGATATGGATGGAATCCACATTGTGGCCTTTGCAGAGGAAGCTGATCCTGGTGAGGGAGGAATACTGGATTGGACTAGGGGGAAGGGAGGAGGCGGCGAGCATGTTTATTAGAGCATAGGCCTCACCTGGGAGGCATTCCTAGGAGTTTGCAAGCAGCCTGGGGCTAGACATGTGGAGCTAGGGAAGCAGGGAAGTAGATCTGGATTCCTATTGTCTGTGTCCCTTGCCTTTCCACCCCAACTCACATTTCTCACTTGTGTTCCCTCCAAGATGGCTTCGAATTCTTAGAGACTCTCAAGGCTGTGGCCCAAGATAACACTGAAAACCCTGACCTTAGCATTGTCTGGATCGACCCCGATGACTTTCCCCTGGTAAGTGACACAGCCCAGGCACTACTCTCCTAAGGTGGGGCCTTAGACTGTGGTACCTTCGCAGGGAGGACTTTGTTTCAGAGTTCCTGTCCCCACTTCCTAGCTGAGGGACCCTCGGAGGTTATGCCTGCTGCTGCTCAAGGGCACTGTGGGCATGGAGGGCATCCTGAGCAAGGGGAAACCAGGTGGGGGTGAATTGCATGGGACATAACACACGATTCCCAGAGCAGAGGCTGGACAGGTAGCTAATGTGCCAGGGCTGACTCCTAAAGAAAATCAGAGTTCTGGTGAGCAGATGGGCAGAGCAGTCCTGCACACAGGTGTATACACTCAGTCGCAGAATCATAGCACAGGATTCCATGTTTCAGGGGGTGGTTTTGTTCTCAGCTGAAATTTCCAACACCTAGCACTCGTTATTGAACAAGTAACTGAATGAACAGCAAAAACATGAGGAACATTGGTGACCTTATTTTAGAGCTGTAGGAACTGAAAGCCAGAGAGAAGTGACTTGACCTTCACCACAAGGTCAGTCAGTAGCATATCCAGGATCAGAACAGGGCTTCCTTTCCATTTTTCCTCAGACAGGAGGGGCTCGTGTACCCAGCTGACCCTCCTGATGCTTTCCTTTTGGGATTTCTACTTTTTTACTGCTTAGCTCTACCCATTGTCTTCAGGTCCCTATGGCTGGACCCATCCACTGCCAGTTCATGCTGTCCCCTCTGTTTATCCCTGGGCTGACCCTCACATTCACCCTCCTGGACTCATGTGCTCCTAGAATCCATTAAGTTGCCATATTTGGATCTCTCTACAGCTGGTCCCATACTGGGAGAAGACATTTGACATCGACTTGTCAGCCCCACAAATAGGAGTCGTCAATGTTACTGATGTGAGTTTCCTTCCCTCATCCCTGGTTGCCCCCACCTCCGTTTCCCAGTAGAGCTAGCTCTCCTCCCCTCTGCTAATTAGTAATGGAACCCTTCCCAGTGGAAGCAGACATTCCCAGTCTAATGGCTGGATGGAGGTGGAGATTCATAATCTGAACATGCCCCTGTCCTCACCTGTTGGAATTGGTGGCTCATCCTTCAAGGCCCAGTTCAAATCCTTTCTCCTCTGCAGTCTCTCCAGATCTCCCATTTAGAATCATTCCCTCCATGGCACACCCAGAGCTCATTTGGCATTGAGAACATGATGTTTATATGGCTATTTATGTATTATGACTGTCTTTTCCCGTAGACTTTGAGATTTTTAATGGCAGAAATTTTCTCATGCACACATACTATGTGCTTTACAAATGTTGAGTTGAATTGAATGAACCACAGTCTTTTCTTTTATAGAATTCTCAGACTAATTGGGTAGGCAGATATTCCATTAACTACAAGGCCAAATCTGATAAACTTTATAATAAAGGTACAAATAAAATGTTAGGAAAGCACAGAAATCAAAGTGATTTCTTCTACTTGAGAGAATCAGAGAAGAGTTTAAAAGAAAGTGACATTTAAAATGGAAACTGTACAACATATAAGATTTCAACAAGTGATGATGATTCAGGGAAGTCATTTCCAAATGAGAAAAAACAAGATCAAAATGCCAAAAGTTGGAAAATGAGTATCAGGTTCAGGAAAAAAAAGTATATTTTTATGGCTTGAGAGTCTAGAGATCACTCAGATGGTACTGGAAAAGCAGGTTATGAAAAGCCCTGAATGCTGAAGAGTTGCTATCTTATAGGCCACGAAGAGTCACCAAGGGCATGATAGAGAGGTTTGTTGGGCCACATGTAGTGACTTACGCCTATAATCCTAGCACTCTGGGAGGCCGAGGTGGGAGGATTGCTTGAGGTCAGGAGTTCAAGACCAGCCTGAGCAAAAGTGAGACCCTGTCTCTACAAAAAAATAGAAAAACTAGCTGGGCATGGCGTTGTGGGCCTATAGTGCCAGCTACTCAGGAGGCTGAGGAAGGAGGATCACTGGAGCCCAGGAGTTTGAGGTTGCAGTGAGCTATGATCACTCCACTGCACTCTACCCAGGGTGACAAAGTGAGACTCTGTCTTAAAAAAAAAAAGAGAGAGAGAGATCTATTTTAGGAAGCTTAGTGTGGCAAAAGCACAGAAGACCAGTTGAAAGGAGAAGGTGTGTTTGCCAATCCATCTTTTTTTTCCACTCTTACCTGTCACTATTTTAACTTACACCTTCACCTGGACAGTTTTCCTGGCCATTGACCGATGAAAGGACAGAGGATGTAGGAAGGACATACAGAGTTCAGTGAACGGGAGGACATGTCCAAAGACCTGGGTGGGGCTAAAGTTCCATGCCCTGCCTGTGCCATCTCCTAGGCTGATAGCATATGGATGGAAATGGACGATGAGGAAGACCTACCTTCTGCTGAAGAGCTGGAGGACTGGCTTGAGGATGTGCTGTCAGGAGAGATCAACACAGAAGATGATGATGATGACGATGACGACGATGACGATGATGATGACTAGTTGCTATGGCAACCATCTCCCTGCCCCACCTGATCTCCTTATGCTCCCTCCTGCCTTCCCTGCCCTTCCCTTAGCTCCTCCAGCAGCACTAGCTCATTCTCTGTCATAGGGACAACTGGGGTCTATATGCTGGGTGCTGACGCCCTGATCCCCCTCATCTGATGAGGAAAGGAGCTATTTTTCCCTAGATACCAGCCCAGCTGTCTCATCTGACTTCCGTTTCTTATCTCATTACTTACCTGTATTCTTTGTCTCTTCCATCACTCCCCATACTCTTCATTATTCTTCTTCTCTTGCCCTATCTATGGGCTTCCATCTCTCTTCTGTTCCCTCCATCTACACACAGTCTTTCCCGACTCCCTCAAATCCCATATCCTTCTAGCTGTCCTGCCCATGGCCAGGAGGAAGGGAGGGTACTGAGTTTGGGACTGTATCTCAGCAATCTCTTGTTAATGTATTTGGGTCAAATGAGAGGCCTCAATAAAGAGATCTGGGGCAGCATGAGCAGGTGTCTGTTGATGAAGTCTCACCCCTATGGCAGGAGGAGGTGGCCTCTGATGGGGGATTTAGGTGTGGGTGCCTAGTTAGGAATGAGCTAGGGGGCTGTGATAGGAGGTGGTTGGGGCTCCCTGTAGGCAGCTATCGCAGAGAAGCCTGGATTATTTATCTGCTTCAAGTCAACAAGCCTTTTCTGAACACATGGTGTTTGTCCAGCGCTGCTGTTAGGCTCTGGGAGAACAGAGAGTGCCAGGCCTATCCCTGCTCTTGAGCCGATTAGCCTCACTGAGAAGTCAACACAAGCACACTAAACAATTGAAGAAAAATACAAAGCAGTATGTAATTAAGTGATTATGTGCTGCTTGATAGCACCCTTCCTGCAGCTCTTATTTGAACATCAAGACTGAGCCCCAATTATACCTCCTTGGTGAGGCATTCCCAGAGGTTGCCCCTCATGCACTGCCCTCCTCGGGTTGCTTCTGCACTTTCTATGTACACCTCTCTTCTAGTACTCAACACATTCTATTAACGGTTCTTCATTTACTTGTCTGTCTTCCCCACTAAACTATATGCCCCTTGAAGGGAGGAACCCAAGTTTTTTCTTTGTTTCCACAGGGCCTGACACTCAAAAAGTTGTCCCTAATAAATGTTTGTTAAAAGAACAAAGGAAAGAACAGAATGGACTCAGGAGAGAGAGATCAGAGTGGGCTTAATGACTTCATAAAGGAAGTGAGCCTTTTCTAGGCTTTAAATTGAAGAATGGGATTTCATTGGAGACAAAGAATTTGGGGAGGAGACATTTCAGTTGGTGGAAACATCAAAAGCATTGGCAGGATGTGTTTATCATATTGGGGGCACACAGAGATACATGAAGAGAAATTCAAGGTGTGGCTGTGATGTTGGGTTATAGAGGTGTTTTAATTTAATCCTGTGAGCTGAGGAGGAAGGGCAAAACGTAATCTGTATCAATGAGCAGGACAGATATGGGGAGAGGAAATGATGGAGATGCCAGAAGAAAGGAGCCCAACTCACAAGCAGAGACTGTTATAATTGGAGTGGAATTGGGAGAAGATGGACCCAAGTGGTGGTCATGGGAATGGAGAGGAGACATTTTGTACAATGGGGATTCCCAGACCCAGGCCTGCTGGAGTTCTTGGCAGGCCCACAATCTCTCCAGAATAGCCCCAGGATGCAGAGGAACATAAAGGAATTCAGAAGGCAGTGGGAGGACCAAACAGCTAAATAAGCCTATAAATAAATAGACATTAATTTTTTTATGTCTACATCAGGTATAAAAGTGTTGCTGGGAGACTCAGAGGATTTCTAAGTATGGAAAGAGGAGGCCTGAGGTTAGAGAAGTTTTCACTCTCCACAGACAAATCCAGGAAGCATTCCTACAGAAGGTGGCAAGAATATAGAAAGTAGAAACCACATATTCATCCAACTTGTACCCATTTAATAAATGTTTAACAAGTAGTATGGGCACTAGGTTAATATTATAATAATACTGTGGAACTTACTGTCTAGCATAGGTCAGTGGATGGCCCCAGACTAAATAATAGTTCCTATTTTTTAAGTACCCCTCTGTGCCAGTCCCTAGGGACTCACTATTAATGAATTTCAGAAGAACCCTATAAAATAGGCATTGGCATCCCCATTTTACCAGTGAAGACACTGAGGCTTTGAAGGATAATCTGCTCAACGAAGGAGTAGAGCTAGCATATAGTCCAAGTCCCTGTGCCTTGTTGCCTCCAGAAGACCTGAGCCTTTCACTTAGAAACTACATGACTTTCAAAGATAGGTCAACAAAATAGGTTTTGTCCCTACAACACAGAGCAAATACAATATATACAAAAGCAAATCATGAGAGTGTTTTTTGTCAAAGGGGCAGCAATAGGCTAACTAGGGGAAAGAAACAGCAAAGAGAAGGGCTGTGAAACTCAAAGCAGCAGGGTCCTGAGCCTCTTCTAGAGGCAGTGTAGACCTAATAAAGGGGCTCATTTGAAGCTTCTGGAAGGGTCTATGCCAGGCTGGAACTGAGGTGAGTCAGGGTGGTCCTGAAAGTGGCACAAACACTGAAGGGATCCCCCAGACCTGGGCCTGCTGGAGTTCTTGGTAGGAAAGACCCACTTCCTACCAAGTGGGTCCTTGGTCTGGGCTCAGACCTCTTCCTAGAACCAGATCCTGCCCAGAGTTGAGGCAAGACCCCCTAGGCTAGAGATGGGGGTGAAAACAGATGTGTCTCCAATTCTTCCTTTCCTCTTTCAGTCTGGCTAAGAATCTGGGGGAGGAAAGTCCCTGGGGTGGAGGGGAAGTGAGAGCTGCCACCCTGGGCCTGGGCAGAGGGGCAGAGCTAAGAGACAGAGCTAAGTGTGGCTTTGCAAGTTGTCTATATTTGCATGCTGAGCTCACTGCTGCTCTTTTTCTACCCAGAAAATAAAATTACATCATGGGGGGAAGGCAGGAGGGGGAATATTTGGGAAAGGTGAGAGAGACACAAAGGGGCCCTCTGGCATCACCCTGGAAAGAGAAGATCCATGGCTACAAATCAAATAAAGGTGGTTTCCACTTGCTGCGTGCCCTGACCTCCTACCTCCACTCACAATGTGGCTAAGTCTATCAGTCATTTACTACTGCGCCCCTGACCCTTAAGGCAAAGAAAGAAGTTTTTACAAATATCAAAGCAAGCAGCTAAGACAATCCACCCGCCAAAGGCCTTTCAAACACTTAACCCTGAACTTACTCTGTGCCTCCCAGAGGTCCCAGCCACCGCGGTCATCCAAACGCTAAAAGGAGAGGAGGATGACCTACTGAGAAAGAATTAAATGTGAGAATTGTTTCGCAGTTTAGAAAGAAGCAGCAGCACCCCCTACTCCAGCCCTCCACTCTGTTCCGTCCCCCATCCTAGCAGTCTTCCAGAACCCAAGCCCCTCGGTTGCCCGCCCCCTCCTGCTCCCCTCCCCCTCCTCCTGCCACTCCCCGCCCCCCGCCCCTCCCCGGCTCTGACATCACCGGCCAGCCGGGTGGAGTGAGGCGGCGCTGGGCTCCGGCTCCGGCTCCGCGGGCGGAAGAGGCGGCGGCGGCGACAGAAGCGGCGGCGGCGGCGGGAGCCAAGGAGGAGGCTCCGGACGCTACTCAGGAACCGGGGACCGGGGAGTGCCCGCGCCCTGAGCGCTCAGCTCCAGAGGCGGTGAGAGGGATGGAGAGGAGATATGTCGCGGGGAAGGGGCAGATTTGGGGTCTGGGCTTGGAAGGACTAGGATCCGGGACGCCGGGGGCCAGATGGGGGAACGCGAGGACCCCTGACGGTCCGCTCTGTGTCAGGCCCCGCGGGTCCGATCCTCGCTCCGTGCGTCCCAAGCGCCTGTGTGCTGGAGGCGGCGTGGCTTTGGCCGCCCATTCCACGCTGAACGGCAGTTTGGGAGTCGGACCGGGCCTGGGGATTAGGATGCAGCCTGCTTCCCGCCCAGCCGGCTTGGCCGGGCCAGCTCCCGCCCCTCCCTGCCCGCTGTGGCTTCGGACTCGCCTCCGCTGGCGGTCTCTCCGGCCAGCCCCGTCTCAGTTCTGCGGCCAGCCGCCCGCTGGCACCATGTGCCCTCAGCCCCAGCCCAGTGCACCTGGGGAAGAGGTGGGATTGGCGAAAGCTTGTCCCGAGGGAAGAAAGCACGGGGGGACTGTAGATGAGTGATGTATCTAACGTAAAACCCCTGATTAATTTCATAGAATGTGTCAGAATTGACAGGGACACACAGCATACCTTCAAGAGACACGCCAGCACAGTGACACACACCCATGTGACTCTTACACACATCGTCTCACACACACCAAATCACAAACGTCCCTGCACTACGCATCCAACCACCTACCACACCCCCACTGCTTCCCATATGGAGTCTACTGAACTGTGGGCTCCATGTCATCAATCTAACAGAACAGCTGAGTGGACAGAACGGGCCACCATCCCCATGTCCAACCCTGATTTTCTGGGCAGCTTTTCCCAGCCCCTGGCTTCCTTCTTTAAAACGGTGGGAAAAGATGGGAGAAAGCTGTGATCTCACTCCTCTAGAACAAGCAGATAGTATGCTGAGGGCTAGTGAGCCTGGTCCTCTTAGCTGTGTGAAAGAAGGTAGGGACTTCTGGTGACCTCTCTTGCTGGGTCCAGCTAGAGCTTAGGGTGCTAGGAGTGGCTAGTTTCTGGCCATCAGTGACCAAGGGATAGAGGAGGCGGGTGGAAGAAAGGGAGAGGGAGAAAAAGAATGAGTCAGCCAAGAATGGAGCCCAAGTCAGTGAGAAAATGAGAGGAATGTGTGTGAGAAGGAGACAGACTTCAAGAAAGGGCTAGAGGGCCAGAGATAGGGAACCAGGGAGAGGGAGGAAGTGAGAGACAGAGATGGTCAGGAGTGCGAAGTGTGCTGGAAAGAGGAATAAAGAGGCTCAGAAATTAGGGAGAATGAAAACAGGATGGTGGGGAGACCACAGGGAGTTAGGGGAAACATGCTGAATATGTTTGTTTAGTTAGTTTACCTTGTGTCTGGCCCCTAGGCTGTCAAAAAGATTAGCTTTAATTGCTCTTTCGTTTGTGGTTAAATATACTCTGTTGGAGAAATTGCCAGTGATGCCCTAGGCTACAGGCTTCCCTGGTTGCCTGTTCCTCACTTCTGTGACATCTGTGCCCATCTTGTGTGCATGTATCATCATGCATGAAGGGGGTCACACCATAACACAGTGTCTCACCCAATCACACAGATCCTCAAGTACAAGGTCATGATGGATTTCTCCACCAGCTGATAGGGAGCCAACCACTGGACCTCCAGGCCTCTCCCACTAAAACTTTATCTTTTGCAGCTGGGATGCTCACCCCTTCCCAATAGTAGTTCTGAGCATTCAGATGGGGACACTGATGACAGAACCTAGGAGTCCTAAGTATTCATGGTTACCACCAAATGGGATATGTGAGTGGAAAAAGCTGGAAGGGATGAAAGCCCATCGAAAGGCAAGGAGGAAAA